CGTCTGGAGAATACGGCGGGTGGGGTAGGACTTCCCATTTCAACGTTTCCAAGTATGTCTTGACCACTTTCGCAACATGGGGTCGACCATTGTCGTGCTGTAAAATCACTTCATCATGTATCTCGTTGTATTGCGGCCATTTGTCTTTCAATGCTCGGCTCAAACGCATTAATTTCATTCGATAACTATCGCCTGTGATTGTTTCAGTCGGTTTTAACAACTCATAATGCACTACGCCGAGCTGGTCCCACCAAATACAGAGCATACCTTGGAACCGTGAATATTCGGTTTGGCCGTCGACGTGGAAGCATGGCCGGGATATCCCCATAATTTTCTGCGCTTGGGATTATCGTAATGAACCCATTTTTCGTCCCCAGTCACAATGCTATGCAGAAATCCTTTCCGTCTTTGCCTTGCAAGCAGCTATTCACAAGCAAACAAACGCCGTTCAACATCTCTCGGCTTCAACTCGTACGGCTCCCAATTTCCTTGTTTCTGAATCATTCCCATGACTTTCAGGCGTTTTGAAGTGGCTTGTTGCATCACTCCCAATGATCCTGCCAATTCTTGTTGTGTTTGACACGAGTATTGATCAAGTAATGCCTCCAATTCTGCATCTTCGAAAATCTTCTCTCTTCCACCGCCATGCCGGTCTTCAACGTCAAAATCGCCGTTCTTGAAGCGTTGAAACCACTCTCGGCACGTTCTTTTACTAATAGCAGCCTCACCATAGGTATTTGAGATCATTCAATGAGCCTCAGCCGCAGATTTTTTCATATTAAAGCAGAAAATTAAAACCTCCCGCAAATGACGAGAATTTGGCTCGTAGGCTGACATGTTTAATCGAGAATAACTTTATGATGCAGACACAAATCGACTAATATTTCGATGGTGTTATGTTTACAAGTTCCTAAGCTTATTGTATGACATCAACGATCTATTTATTTCGACTACCACTTACCGCTACAACCATCTATTGCAAAACGGCGGAAGCAAAGTTGTACACCTATGTATTTTTTTTAACGAGCAGACGAGATGTCCGCCATGATCACGGTTACTGCAAAGTAATCGAAACGTCGCGTCGGGAGTATGTAGTATTTAAACATTTATTAAGTAACATAATACGGGAAGTAATCAGAAAATATTAATTTCATTTAAACATTAATAATAATATTCGCGCATAATGTTACAGCAGTCCGATCAGGACGAACATCTTTAAACTTTATGAATCTCTTAACTGCCTCTGAGCCTCGAAACTAACTTAAAAGGATCATTATTATCATTCGAAAACACAAACAAAGCATACGAAATAACGTATTAGTGTGTACATAACCTGCTAACTAATTAAAACTATCATAATACTTTTAATTGAAACAAATAACATTACCTTTTATTTAGTTCAATCTCAACTGATCACACACCTTCACTTTACACTTATTTTATTATCAAACGACAATATTTTCATAAACAAACACATTTTAATTTCATTAAACACATTCAATACACATATTTTAATTTCAATAAACACTCATCATAAGCACAGAGCTCACAGCTATAATTTTCCATAATTCGTTAATAAATTAATCCACTGTTTACTAATATAAACTAATTAAAAACTATTCACTTGCACTTAGAAACACAAATGACAATTGACAATATAGTCAATAATAGTAAAATGGCGAAAAAAATATGTAAACAGTTAACCGACCAATCAGAGAGTCCCGTTTCGTTTGACAATTAACGGATTTACTACGACATTTAAACAGTACAAAATACAAAATAATCAGTGCTTCTCGAACACTATGCACGTGTGAGTTTTACACACACATACAAACATTTCCTGTATACATACACGAGATTTGTAGATCGTCCTTGACAATTTTTGTATGCAAAATAAGCAGAGAGTGGTTGTGCATACCGCCGCTCTGGCTGCATAGCGGCGCTAGCAGTTGGCAGCGGCCGATCGAAAATGTTTGGTTTTTACATTGATAGATGGCACTTATTAACAAACCATGAATCAAATGTATTTTAAATGTCTGTTAACTTTTGTATTTCCTAATGTAAGATTAAAAGTATGTAAGTTAGAATTAAACAATATAGGTTTAGTTGTTATATGGGTAGGGTACGCAGTGCTTATTTGTATCTATGGTGTGCACGTCACTGCGCTTTTGTTAGGTTAAAATTGCGCTTTCATATACTTTATACAATATAAAACATAAAAATTACTTTATAACTGCCCCACACAAGAGATGAAGAAATTAATTCTGCGTATACATTTTATTTCATACTAAAACATTATAATTTATATATAACATATAGACTGAAATATATTTACGTGCTAAATACTATGTAAAAGTTATTTTTGAAGCCCCAAACAGGTAATATGTATTATTTTGATAGTTGTAGTCTATATTCTGGTGTGATTGTGATTTTTTTATTATATTTAAATACTTTATATACGTATTATATTTTTAAACTATTCCTTCTGCCCTAGGTACCGTGTGATGGCATTCGTTACATATTTGTGAGTCCCCATCTGTTATTGTGATTAACAAACTCACACAATGCTTATAATGCTTAATTAATTTATAATACATTAAACAAATCTCCGAATTTAACTAAAATGAGTAAAGATTTAGAGATAGGTAGATGAAATTATGTACACGTATGTCGAAGTGGGGAAACTTGTTTTTTTTATACAAAAAAGTGAACGTTAGCCGGACTTTGCACTGATTACTGGAGTAACTGTTTCATTTTTATGGCAACACTCAGCCCTTGTAAGTTTTCTTAGAACGAGATAAGTGTTACGCTGTTTAAAGTAGCGTTTGCATACTGTGTTTTTATTTTATTTCATTTGTAAGTAAATTAAAATAATTATTCATTTCTTGTTTGAATCATAATAAAATATCTTCAATGATTCATATTTTTAACTCAAAATATCATCAAAAAAAAGTCCTTATAAATAGATCACTACTTAATCTAATAAGTGCAACTTCATATTCAAATATTCTCTATCGTCTTTGGAATACAGACTAAAAAGCTTTCTCAAAGCAATATTAATAATAAATCAATAAGACACAAAATTCTATTTTAAAATTAATACAGAAAATAAAAAGAGATTTCAGATTAAGTTATTATATTTTTAATTTTTATATAGATACAAAAACGAAAAAAAGAGTTTTAGAGTATATAAAAAATATCAATATCAATGTAAATTACATGAATCTTACCGTAGTATTCAGTTGTGTTACACAAATGGAAACACTGTAATTTTTTCCTTAATACACGTGTAATGATTGAACATCAAGCAAATTACCCAAATTTTCATAATAATACCACTATAATTGATCTTGATAACTTAATAAATGTTTTCTTTGGTTAATGATAGTTAAAAAAATAATATGCGGTTACTGCTAATAATCATAAAAGGATATGGGGAGTTGAACAGTGTGGCAATGTTTACCAAAATGTTACAGCCGCTGTTACTTTAAAATTTTAGTTAAATAACTGTGTTAATTTAACTACACCTATAAGAATTAGTCACGAATTACATGACTTGTTAGATGAAATCAATATTGATTATTTGGTTAATGAAATTTTAGAAATCTTTATAGTTAATCCTGATTCTTCTCTATTGTATTATCTGAAATTAATTAGCTTTTTTGTTAATTTTGCACTTTCATATCTCATGATGGAATATTTTAACATAATTGTTTAAGAGTAACAATAAAGCATTACACGCTGTATTCGTCAAAGCCGACATTACAACGCCCATTTAACCTTACAAAAGGAACTAATAAAAAATTATTGTTATCTCTCACAATCTTATTAAAAGGGCGTCGAATACATCAATATTTACAACTTTATTACGACGCAACTGCTTGTTATAAAACAATGGAACGTACAATTTTTTCCAACATTTTCTTAATAAAAGTGCAATGTAATTTACAGTATTACATAAACATGACCTCATCTAGGGATGTACAAGCTTTTCGTTCAGCAATTTTTTTTTTAACAACATTACAATCAATTTTATCAGCATATCCGAAACATAAAATATTAATAAAATTTTATTTATAGACCTGAAATTATTATTGATATAAAATAAAAACCGAAAAATCGACAAATTCATCTCAAAAGGTCAGAAAAGGAAAGCGCGCCGCGGGCGTAAACGGGTATGCACATATGTGGTTGAACAGAAGTCTTTATAAATCAACCGCTTCATTAAATTTTAGTCCCTATAATTTGAGTGGAAGTGACTTTTTGAAAAGTTGCGAATGATCACGCAATTCAGTGTCATAATCAAAAGTACTATTAAAACATAATCATTAACTATATAGCACAACGAGACATAGGTAAATGGCTAAGCGATTTTTAAATGATTCAGAAGCAAATGCAATATAATTTAAAACGTGATAGATTTAACACTATCTCTTGATATAAAACCTTATATGGTAAATTGTGAAACATATATAAATGAGTTTTTATATATCGCATTACATTTATTTAATAGTATTTACTTCATATGTCCACGTTTAAAATAGTTTGAGACTGAAATTTTTGTTTTCATTTCGTATTCTCAGCCGTGGCATTGGAATTCAATGACTTCGCTCGAAGACAGATGATTAACTGATCACTTAATTTGATTCCGTTGATATATATCAGAATACTTTCCAGAAATCTCCCTCATCAGACACGCTTATAAATCAAATTTAATTAAACCCACCAGAGTAATACGAGATTATAATCCTGGCATAAATAATGTACTTTGAGTTTTTATATTAATAATCTTAGACTAGTACACATTTATTTCAGTATTCATTTATATGTAATTGAGTGTACTACATTCTCGCATTAAAATGAGTTGTGTAATTACCTTCAACGAGGTATGAGGATAACATTTAAATATATTCCAATGTAAAATGCATCGTATATATTTGCATTAACCAGCGGCTACCAAAAACTGAACAATGTTTTAACTTGTTTTACTCTCTTTACAGACTTGGCGGCTTTACGACAACTTCTGGAGAGCGAAACGGGAGGCACAACCTGTCCAAGTTGTAACATGCCATTTGATAAGGGTAAAAAGAGAAAGTTAATTGACACATGCGGACATGAGCGCTGCTATTCCTGTATGTTCAGAAACGAAGCCTGCCCAATTTGTGCAAGAAAAAGTCAGGGAAGACGTCCAGTTATGGAGAGATATACCCCATCTCCACAACGACAAGTGGATCATGAATGGCAGTCACCGATGCGACTACCAAAACCACCGAAGCCATCGAGTCTCGCTCAAAGCTGCCCCACACCTCCTCACACTAGAAGAAGATTCTTCCTTAGTCCTAAATCCTTGCGCAGTCCATTCGGCCAACGAAGCCGCCATTCTCACGAAAACCACGTGCCTCTATCAGGTGAGATAATTTTATTTTGCATATCTGGTATCGAGTAGCCGAAGGCTGCTAGCGTTGCGTAAACGTGCACGCAATGCACTTTACCCCATTGACACTTTAGTCCTACTTGTTTTCATTCACCTCTCACTTTTGTGAACATTGAAGATTCCATTCCAAACAAATCACTGTGCGACGCCGGGCCCACGCATTCCCGCCGGATATACGTAGGGGTTAGCAAAGGACCGGTTGTACCTAGCGCACTTATTATATTATTCTAGGTACATATCAGACTTTCGTAACACTGCCCGCGCAGACAGCAGGCCGGCGGACATTATCTGGATATCTGTTACATTTTCTAATTCCATTAATTACATAATTCCGGTCCCCGTCGAAATATAAAGCGGTCAGATTACAGTTGCGTTCTCTAATAAATTACTAGTTTCAATACAACATAACACTTGCTCTGTAGCTACCGTACGATAGATCTGTCTGTAAACAACATTTATGATTAATGTTAAAATTATTGCAACAATTTATTAATTGCTTTAATACAATCAAAGCTTCAGATAGTAAGTAATATGCTGTTGATTCGGTAACGTTATATAAATAGCGATGATTTACCAGGGTTACCGGAAGAAGGTCCTAGGAACGCAGCGTGGACGAGCTTGGTGTTTAATAAGATAAGATCCTTGTGGTCTGCCCAATCCTCAGTGCCTCAAGGACTCAACCAGTTAACAGGCACGAAACAGAATGTATGTGAATGTGGATCGAAAATTAATGCTACTGAGACTAGACTGTCAAAACAGATAACATTCAAGTCACTATTCGGTCCAAATGCATTCAATTATTCCGATAGTTTTAATAGTAGCATGTTGTTTTAATAAATACAATCGTAATGAACATTCAAGGTTCTAATTCCGGACTGAATAAATACCGAGCGAATATTCGATCCACATTCTGTTCAGGCCGATGTGGCTCGGTTGAATTTTTGCACATCTTTTTGCCTGCCAGCCGCCAGTACGGCAATTTGATGCACAGCTTTATAAGAACCGGTTTCTGTATTTTTGTTTTGCATCTGTGTTTAACTTTGTTATTTTTAAGCTTCTATCTTCATTTCAATGCTAATATATTCATCAAATATAAATTCGGACGTCGCGTCTTTGGTAAATGAAAAGAAATATAAACGTCAAAAAAACTAATACTCGCCATGTTTAAGATAAAGTCACCAAATTGAATTTAATTTTAGTGGTACTAACAGTCATTTATTAATTAGCTGTTATAAAGATACGATTTACATATGAACATGTGAACTTTGACATAATAATATATGTAGTTTCAATAATTACACTTTTAGTCATTTAATTTAATCTTTGTAAATTAAATACGCTTAAGCATACGAGTATAATAAGAATATATACGCTGATAATATGTTTATGCAATGCAAATCTAGGATATAGTTCTGGTCGCAATGCCTTATTTAAGATACTTACGTAAACCGAAACCATATTTGGAGTTTACGTCAAATTTATCTTTAAGAGGATCTGTTCTGTGTACGTGCGTTTGCCTTTCTAGACATAGCTTCATTCTACTTATAGTAAATAACATTACCATAACACTTGGTAATTATAATTTATGATGGGATTTAAATTTATTGTTATTATATAATGAAATGCTAAGACATTTACACTTCAACGGCTCATGATGTTTAATTATTACTATAAAGCAAATTGAATAACATTTCACTGTTTTTGAGGTAGCTAATTTTATTTTTCTATATAAACTTCTATCAACTTAGAGTTTACCGAATTTACGACGCTTTTTTTTTTAACACACACGAAAAATTTTTAATGTTTCTATTTTAATAAAAGGGTTCTAGGGATGTGAAATCAGATTTTTTTTGTAAAGTAAAATCAATGATTTCACTATTGACATATCTGTAATAATATTATAACAATGAGATAATCTACAAGCTGTCGGTCAATACAACACTGTGGGCGAAGGCTGCGGATTATAATGAGTAGGCTTTGTCATTTGGATTATATAGAACAAGGTGAAAGACGCCTTCATTAAATTACGAAATATATGCTCCCCATATTAGAAACCGAATTATTTAAGAAACTATCACGAGAGACAATTTTTAGAAGTATCATAGAAAATAAAGAAAAATGCATATAAATTCTAATTAATACATATTTAGAGTTATTAAAGATTTAAGTTAGATTTTTACCATTCATATCACTTCTCCCTATTTTGTTAGTACATAAATCGAAGTTCTGATAATTGATAGATAATATCGTATTACAATTCCATTAAATATATTATTTATTATCAGATTTAGCGACAATAGTACGATAAATATAAAACATCTATTAGTTATTGAACTTTATTCGAAATCGTATTAAATTCGTACGTTCAACGTTATTACTGACGGCTATTTAAAACGAACCCTATGAATCATCAATATAGACACATAAAAGTCATAATTTGACGTTTATTACATAATATATCAAGTGTTAATATAATCTTCTCTTTGTAACGGTACGTTAAAAGTCGGAGGTTAAGAATAATAGCGAGCAAGACATCAAAACGAGATTGTACTGCGTCATTTAGAAAAACGTGCGACTGATCATGTTATAAGAGTTAGCGGATATATAATAAAAGGTTACTTTTAATGGTAATAAGTCAATTAGGAGTCATGAAAGTGGTATATACTTGATTATAAAAACGCTATCTTTTATGACTTAAAGACGACACATTATGAAACATCTTTTTAGTAAGCATCGCGATATGACCGACGTGCTTAGACCTCGTAACCCGTGAAATTTTAGTGACCAGATATTGTTCGGGTTAAATCACTAAAGAATAATGATGATTTCATTTTAAATATCAAAAAAACAGCAGAAATAGTGACATAATTTAACGCTGAAACAAAAATCCAAAGGTATTTTGACGAGTGAAAAAAGACAAGATTTAGATTTTAATTTATGAGAATGGTTTAAACAAATCTGAAAGTAATAACATCAGAAAACAAACTAAACTTATCTAATGAATATTTAAAGTACAATTTAGCTAATTTAATGATAGATTTTCATGGCATTAACACGTCATTGTTAAACTCTCCACCTGAAGTACTGAAATTACAATGAAGAAAGGATTTCGTTTAAATTAAGTTTCGTTATTGAACTTTTAATATAGACACTACAAGCCCTTTACATCTGCCAATCAAAACTGAATGACCTTTTAAACTTATCCATAATAAACCTTGACAGAGTCAATCTGATTTGACTTACAACTGAATCGTTTGAGAGACAGTTTTAAAGATATAATATTACCTAAGAAGTTGAAATATATATATATACTTAGTCTTAGAATAGTGTTAGTATGTTACGTTATCACGCCTAAACCATTGAATAGATTTTAGATGAATTTTGATATAGAGATAGCTGAATCCCTGGAAAAAGACATAGAATATCTTTTATCCCGATCCCAAACTTAAACGGGTGGAGCCATGAAATACAATTCGGGTTCAGTGGCCCTAGTGGCAAAGAACTGGCAAAAGCTAGTTCATTATTTTTATATATTATAGTTTTTCCTTCAAAATAGAAACAGAATGATTTAATATTAATAAATAGATCAAAGTATACATTACGATAATTCTGCTTAAATTCCATTTCATAATTCTAGGTCACCAGTCATTTACTGCTGTGTGTATAATATAATTTTAATTACAATAATTTTATATTTCCATTCTCACACAAACAATGGATCGAAAACAATCTAATTTATACAACCACAAATAAACTTAAATCATCACAAGTTTCATAGTTTAACGTCGATTTTGTATGAAAATAAATATACTTTATTCGTAGTATATAAACTGATTTTACGAGTCCGCCTCACTTTCTAACCATAAACGTAAAAGGCCACAACTATGACAGAGAGATAATCATACGACAAGCCATTAGCGAGACATCAAAAAATATTTACTATAATATTTCCCAAGTCAACAGTTTTAATGGTTTATGGTTAAATTCAGTCCTAGTACAAGCTTAACTCCACCTGCCGGTGACGAATAACCTGACCCACATAAAATATTTATATAAATAATATCATTAACATTATACGCTTGAAACGAACTCTTATCACTTTACATTAACGTGTTTATCAATCTGTTAGCTAAATAGCTGTACACAGATTTGCTTTAATAAATTATCTTGATAGTATTTAGTAGTTACAAGATATCTCCACAAATAATCTAGATTTTTATCATTGAAATTTTAATCTTATTAGTTTATAGAGAAGAATGGTTTAAGCTTGGATATTAGAGGAATCTTTGTCTATTGATTTGGGTTATATAATAGAAAAAAGGGCTTGTAATTTCGCTTGTATATTATGAAACAATATAAAATACAGTAATATTTTATAAGACAGCAGTAGCAATCCCTTTCGCTCGGAACGGTATTGATATTTACCTAATTCAGGTTAATTGCTTTCAGTTTAAATTATGACCTAACTTTCAAATAAGTGCCATACTCACTCAAAGAAGATCAAAACAATACAACGAATTTTAAAACAAGAAGTGAAAGGGTTTGAATATATCTTGAAAGAAGAATAATGAGTCCAATGTCTAAGTATTTAATATATTTTAGCATAATGAAAACCGTCGGCACATTTATAGGCCGACTTTCTCGTGAAATCTCTCGATTCAAGAGGAAATGTATCACAATGGTGGCAGTGACCACCGTTTTGGGGCCACGAAACTATGTTGAACGTAGACAAAATAATTATATTATAGCAAATTTTTGAATAATGATATAAAATATACGATGTAACTATCAACTTTTTAATGTACGCTCATGAAAAATTCGAGCTCACTTATATTTAATTCGAAAATTACCAAAGCTCAACAAAATAATTATATTATAGCTAATTTTTGAATAATGATATAAAGTATACGATGTAACTATCAACTTTTTAATGTACGCTCATGAAAAATTCGAGCTCACTTATATTTAATTCGAAAATTACCAAAGCTCAACAAAATAATTATATTATAGCTAATTTTTGAATAATGATATAAAATATACGATGTAACTATCAACTTTTTAATGTACGCTCATGAAAAATTCGAGCTCACTTATATTTAATTCGAAAATTACCAAAGCTCAACAAAATAATTATATTATAGCTAATTTTTTAATAATGATATCAAATATACGGTGTAACTATCATCTATTTTAATAAATGGTCTAGAATAATTCAAAATTTTATATTAAATTCGCAATTTACGAAAGCTCAGCTTTTATGTTACATAATATGTAAATGTTATAATCCGCTCCCGCTACATCCCGCTTATTAAACCGCTCTGTTAGTGGCCTGAGCGTATCGTATTAAAATCGCGGAACCAAGCGAGTTCCCACGGGCAGGTGCGGCTCGTCTTACACCACAAACTCAAAGACATCCTTTTTTGTATTGGATGATGCATCTCATATATTTATGTACATAAATTTGATTTTTTGTTCAGACAATTTGATCATAAAAATATATTTGACCACATAATGATGATGATGCTTGATTTGTTACTTGTTCTCTAATTTAAAATTATTAGGAACTGTAAAAACGAAACAATGTTGTCAGTAAGGTAACGATATTTTATTGTATGAAATAAGAATGTAATGGATATTTCTTGCAATTCAAATATATCAACTTTAAAAAGACAGTTTTAAAGCCCTATAAGAATATTTTTATATACCCATTACGAGAACTTTATGTAACCAGATAGATGTGAAAAAGATCTGAAACCATTTTAAATGTTTAATTTGAAACTTTTATTCGTATTTCTATCTTTCTGTAGAACATTTTCATAAGTATTTAAAACTTTGAATATTCTTTGTGATGTTATGTGATTAGTCAAAAGTGTTGATAAATGAAGCTCAAGCTATTAAATGTTGTGCTCAATGTAAAAAATATATAACAGTTCTTAAAATAAATTGGCCGTCTATAAAATAATAGCCATAATTACAAAACGGAAATCATTATATATCATGAAAACATTAGTTTTTTACAATTTATTGGACGTTTAATTCTAATATGGAGTTGTCCATGGGAAAGTATTTCTTCTTCATTTCGAACAATTACATTTCACATACAATAAGTTCCATAGTTAAAGGTAAATGGAAGAATATCTAAGCATTATGGGAATTTCAGAGTTTTCTTTGATTTCCGATTCGTGAGAAGATTATCTCTGGTAAAAAATTACTAGAAAATCTTTATTCTAGTAAATGTATGGGATTAATCATTTGAATTTTATAATCTTTGTGTGAAAATATTTAGATAATTTTAGTTTAAGCGGATATTTAATCACTGCACAATCAAAGTGTATGCACATTACTATATGGTGCATGTTTTATGTTTTTTATTTGCTAATTTTATACTCTGTATATAAATATTACGCATGGATTTGTATATTTTATGTTTTTGTGGTATTTTTCTGTTCACATTAGGATTAATTAGCATCGATATTTTTGTTGATTTTGAGGTGTGTTTGTGGGTTAATAAGGCAATATAGCATGGAGTGTGCATGAATTTGGTGAAAACTTTCGTTAAAATAATTTATTTTACAGATGACGAAGGAGGTCATATCAAACAAGGTTATGAGACCAGACGGCAAAATGACTTGTATATGCGATTGGGATTACTTCTTGGGGAGCGACGTGGATCCAGGAACAAATCCCGAGACAGCTGCACATCTCTAGCCTCATTGGACGCTCATACTTTAGCCTCTCACAATACCAGCCCAGTAAGATATGATTAAATTAATGAAAATATACTGTAATCATCTTTACCAAAACTCTTCACATAAGTCCTAAATCACGGTCGCATCACGAACTAGAAATACAAGAATTAAATTATTATGAGTATAAGAGTTTCGCGAGTATTCATTTAAATGAAACAATTTTCTGATTACTACGCGTATATCACATCTCGTCTGCCGTGATCACGGTTGCTGCAAAGTAACCAAAACTTCGGATATGTAGTTCTACCAATAATAATCAAATTAGCGTTTCATTTAAATGATTTTTTTTATATATTTGTCCAATAATCCATATCGTTTTTATCATTCAGGTGTCAACATTAACTGGTTCATCAGAAGTAGATGCTACAACACCACTTGGTAGGGATTCTTTGGGATCACTAGCCTCAATGTCACTCTCTGCCGCCAGCAATTGTTCATCATCAAGTCCTGGGAGCAGACGGCATTCTGTTAACAGTGAGTAATCAAATATACTTAGAATAAAAACAAATGATAATATAAATCTATAATGTGTGTTTCATCCAATAGCTTTACAAAACGGACGAGAGGAATTGACGCGGATGTCGAGTGGATTCTTTAAGAACAGAAAAACAGCAGCACGGAGATCAGCTCGTGTCAATAGCAAACAGTCGACATCTTCATCAGAAATAAAGAAAGGTAAGATTTATTTACGCTGTTGAGACATACAATTAATGTAATAGGTACTTATTTCTTTGGCACTGTATTTGAATGTGAGAAAATCCTAATTCTGACAGTTAAAATCACCTTAAAATTTTAAATTACCCAAAAATAAACTTAATATATTTTTTGCTAATTTTAAATAATGTTTCTTTATATTACAGTTCATCCAACTCCACAACTGACTTTGCGACCACTATTCTTTGAAGTGCCGGCAACCAATAACGACACTTGCTTTTCTGGACGACATTGGCTTATGAGAGACATGGAAAAAGCTTTGGAATCTTCTTCACCTGGTAATACTTTTATTAATATAAACAAAACAATTTTTTTCATTCACTAAAAAGTTGAGTTGATATAACTTATATTTTTATTGCAGGTATAATGATATCGGGCTGTCCAGGTACGGGCAAAACTGCTTTAATACTTCAACTAGTCGAATATTCATGTTTCGGCCGCAAAAGGAACTATCAGTATCAAGAATTACGAGAGCAGTCAGATATTAGAGAAATGCTGCCAGAAGAAATAGCAGCAGGGATGATCACACAACTAGCCTCACAAGTTGTTGCTTATCATTTCTGCCAAGTAAGAATACAAGAATATGTTTTTAAATAAACATGAATCAAACTTTAGGAAGAATATTTTTTTATAAAATAATTGTTATTTTATTTTCCAGGCAGATAACAACAGCACTTGCCTTGTTGGCGAATTTGTACATTCCCTGGCCGCCCAACTATGTCAAGCGCCAAGACTACAAGCATATAGAGAATACTTACTAAGTGAACCGCATTTGCTATCCTGCCTTTCATTAAAAGAATGTATAGCCGACCCAGACTTAGCTTTTATGAGAGGCATTATAGAACCTCTTATAATATTAAGAAGAAATGGAAGTATAGATTCAAGTAATAGTATCATACTTGTTGATGGACTTTGTGAAGCGGAATATCACCGACCCGATCACGGTTATACTGTTGCTTCATTTCTTATAAGACATGTACCAGAAATGCCAGCGTGGCTTAAAGTTGTAGCAACTATAAGAAGTCAATTTCTGGAACTAACAAAGCAACTACCATACACAAGGTTCAGTCTAAATGAATGTGACAATGTCCAAAAAGATCTATTGGAATATTTTAATGCGAGAGTACAAGCAGCCCCAATAATAGAAACAAATATTAAAAGTTCCACGGGGAAATCCGAGGGAGTACATAATTCGGTCATGAAGTTTGCCCAATATGTTATTCATCTCAGTCAAGGATCATTCCTGTTTCTAAAATTAATTTTAGACCTTCTTGAACGCAGTCATATAGTCGTAAAGTCGACTAACTACAAAGTTGTGCCAATTTCGTTAGCTCAAATATTTTTGCTACAATTCAATTTAAGATTCCCCACGGTACAGTCTTTTGAAAAAGTAACCCACATTCTAAGTGTTTGTCTAGCAGCACTATACCCTCTCACTTTGGTAGAGATTTATTACTCTGTGAATTCTCTTCTTGTGGACACTTACTTGCCGTGGGAAGAATTTTGTCACAGATTTGAAAGCCTTTCCGATTTCTTGGTAAAAAGAATCGATAATACTTACATGTTCTTCCACCCATCATTCAGAGAATGGTTAATAAGACGTGATGATAATGAGAGTCCAAAATTTCTATGTGACTTGCGGGCTGGTCACTGTGGTATCGCTTTTAGACTTTCTAGAGTGCAAGCTCCATTAGACCCAGAAAAGTCTATGGAACTGGGACACCACATTTTGAAAGCTCATATGTACAGAAATATGGGACCAGCACAATTAGGACTATGTCCTAGAGATTTACAAGCCATGATGGTAGCATCGAGTTCTTCGAATGTAGGGGAAGCAGTAGCTAATTTACGTAACGTATATACTCCAAATGTAAAAGTATCGCGTCTCATGTTGCTTGCTGGTGGATCACCCAATCAAATAACTGATTGTCTTGGAAATGCTCCTCTATTATGTATGTATGCTTATCAAGGAATTATATCAATGGTAGGATTACTGATTGAATTTGGAGCTGATTTAGAAATGACAAACTCGCAAGGATGTTCAGCTTTATCGTTAGCTTGTCAGAGAGGTCACACCGATGTTGCCAGGATGTTAATAGCATCTGGTAAGTTTATATTGACTATCTGTATGGTTTTATGTAAAAATTACATAAATTTATGAATGTTTTTATCATTTTAGGCGCATCTTTAAGTCACACTGATACAGCCGAACAAACGCCTCTCGTCCACGCAGCAAAGAATGGTCACAGAGATACAGTAATCTACCTACTTGGTTGTCAAACTGGTAAAGACGATAGAAACTCAATAGAACTAGACGAAGGCAACATTGAACAATTAGTTCCCGGATCAAGACATGCTCTGATAGCGGCTGCTCAAAACGGTCATTTGGATATTGTCGAGTATCTTCTAGATACAGCTGAATTAATTGTGAGTAACAAATATCTTATGACTACGAATTTCAATAATTCAATAATTAATTTCTTTTAACTCTTTTTCGCAGCCTGACGGTATTTGTCCAGTAACTGGTGAAACAGCATTGACAGCTGCTTGCTCTACTGGTAACGCTGCTATCGCCGATGCCCTTCTGATTCGAGGAGCTACGCCGTACTCATTAAATGCCAGACAAATGTCACCTTTGGCTCTAGCAGCTAAAAACGGCAGAACAGCATTAGTTTTACGACTTCTGGATTCTGGAGCTGATGTGATGGGATCAAGCGGAAAAATACCATTAATTTTAGCAGCTGCGGAGGGTCATTCAGATGTTGTTGAAATGCTTTTAGGTCATGGTAGGTTATCAGAATGTAATATGTTATATTAATTATTTATACAATGTTTATCTTAGTAATTGTTTATTCATTTGCTTAAAATAATATTCTAGGTGCTGATCCCAATGCTGTGGATGGTGATGGCATATCTGCTTTAGGTTGGGCAAGTCTGAGATCAAGAATACCCACAGTAGTTATGCTTTTAGACAAAGGAGCAAATATAGGTAAGTCATTCTAAAAATACGTACTAAAAAAAACACACATAAAATGAATTAAGTATACTCCCAAAATAAGAAGTACTTCCTTACGCCATATAAATGAAGCTAAAAATAAAGCTTGAAAGAATAGAAAAATGGATATTTGTTGTTCTTTGTCTGTCTGGACTGTTTGCTGAAATCTTTACAAATAATATTTATATAGCCCTAAAGTTGGGGAATTCGGACGTAATTGTAAAAAATTTATATCAATCAAAATATTAGTAGACAAATTTTGACCTAAATCGATTTAAGAGTTGTTTCTGTATTTATTTATATACCTTGCTTCTCTATCTGAATTCAGAAAATTCAATACAGGTAGACATTTCTCTCATCTTCTATTTTGATTTCTTAGTATTACGACTTTGTTCTATGTGGTAGCTTATTTTATTTGTACCTTCTTCAGAGCAAGCTGATAGTAGCGGCCGCACACCGTTGGGACTAGCTTGCGGTGGACCTGCAGAGTTAGCAGAACTTCTTTTAGAACGTGGCGCATCACTAGAACGTGGAGACCACAGTGGCTTACGACCTTTAGATCGCGCCATCGGGCAGAGGAATGTACCGGTAAGTTTGTTTTAACTGAATAGATAGCGAAGTCATTAGATAATTAGACTCTTAGACGTGTGAGCAGTGTCAGTGTATTGACCCAAAACAACATTAAAGTGAATGATTTATGCAATATTATTTATAACTGGCATCTTGTTAAGGCATATAAGTGCTTTGTACATAAAAATATAATCACAAGATATCTTGTATCAATATTGACTCTCAGATATACCTTTCTGGCCATTCTATTCACAAGGGACTTCCAAAAACTACTAACAACTGCAAAATTAAAATAATGATTTATAAAATCAAATTGATTCCACAAAATCTATGTCCATTGAAATTAAATTATCTGTATCAGCAACATTTTTCAACTTAATACGTTGTTGTCCCTCCCTGTTATTTTATTTTCTAAACTTCCATCTTTCTAAGAAGTTATTAATGTTAAAAATTTAATTTGCAGATAGTAAATTGCTTTCTACGGAAAGGAGCGAAACTCGGTCCAACGACATGGGTAATGGCGTCAGGAAAACCAGAATTTATGTAAGTATTACAATTATATTTCAAAGTCGATATCATTTTGATCAAAATGCTTGTATATTCACCAAAACTATACAAATATTTGAACAGAAAATCAAAGTTTTACTCAAAAATTTTATATTATTTACAGGCTCATCCTGCTTAACAAACTGCTTGAAGACGGTAACATATTGTACCGCAAGAACAGGCCGTCTGAAGCTGCTCATAGATATCAATACGCCCTCAAGAAGATCTCTCCTCTCATCAGTGATGACGTCACCAACGCCCAAGAACACCTGAATGTTTTCGTGCAGCTTAAAACCAATCTGCTACTTAATTTATCGAGATGCAAACGGAAACTTAACGTAGGTTTTAATACAATAACTTTTTTTATTTATTTAAGATCCACCAGTGATAATTACATTAATACAATATTAGGTAAAAGAAAATACAGTGTAACTTAATGCTAAATGCATTATCTTTTAAGCATGCAAATATTAGGAAGTTTATAAATCATTTATTACATTATATTGAAAACGTATTAACCTATTGGTAAAAAATATTAAAATCTCTCTCTCTCGAGAGAGAGAGAGATTATATATATATATATATATAAAAGATAAGCAGTCTCTAAGTACTTATGCTCATTTCAGGAACCATCAGAGGCTTTGGATTTAGCAGCCCGCGCGTCTGTGTTACGTCCGAACGCTTTCGAATGTTCCTACGCCATGGCGAGAGCTATACTTGCTCTGAACAAACCATCAGATGCTCTTCCTCATGCGAGACGAGCCTTACTCCTCGCCCCACAGACAGACCTATCAGCCATGAGAACCTTGAAAGCTCTCCAACAAGAAATTCTGTCTCGTATTAATGCCGGTACACAAAGTTTAAACGGCGACACACGGTCTTTGAGAAATTTTGACAGCATTAGTCTAAACATGCCTTAATTATTGTTAATTCTATTTGTTGTTTATGGTATTATTGCATGAGCTATGCACATATTATATTGTGAACTATAGATGATATATACAAATTACTATATCTATAAATATTGAACTAAGTTCAAGATTATCTGTTACTACAACAATATGAAAAAAATCAGCAAGATTTTGCTATTATGAATATAACTATTAAGTGGTGTATACATTTAAGATCAATTGTCTTGATATTGGCTTTATGTTCCTGTATTTAATAATTGCGTCAACTGTTTTGTTGTGTATCCGTGGCCTTATTACGACTATTGTCCTTAACGAAACTACTTAAATTTTCATAATTATTTATAGCTTTAGTTACTTAATGTGGAAGGTTAAGATTTTTAAGTATTATTGACAACTTAGAAGTAAAAAAAAATTTTCAAAGTGTTATTTACATGTACCTATATGTCATGCTAGATCAAAGTTTGACAGTTGACAAAATGGTGGATCAAGACGTTTTAAATATGTCGTATTCTTTATATCTTATTTGTTTTGTGTAAATGTATGGTCTTATAATAATTAGAAAGTTCGGTTAGTGCGTAAAAGGTTGTTTGATTTTATAATTTCATCGATGCTTAGATTTAATTAATCATGTATACACATGTGTTGTGGTCGACATTTTGTAAATATTTACATCTTTTTGTACTTCTGTAAAGATCACTCACTCGAATATATATATCGCTTGCCATTTGTAATGCATTCTTCATAATTTTGCCATATAATCTAAATTATTGCAATTTTGTTATTGTTTTTTTTTTGAGTTAAACTCATTTTTGCCCATTCTCTTGCTAATTTTATTTATTACAATAAGACTAAAGTTTAATGGAAACGTATAAGTGTGGTTTTAAAGTTTAGTGTGTTTTAATTATTTATTGATTTGTCGAAATTTAAATAAAAAAGAAACATTGTATACTCTCTGATATTTGAACATAAAAACTAAATATCGCATGTTTATTACAAAAGATTTGAAAGATTATAAAAGACTGAATGCAACACACATATATCTAAAAATGTTTTTGTAATATAATTATAAGTATTATAATAGTTTCTGTGACAGTATAATATAAATACACATTTTGCTTCAAATTTTATTTTTTATTTTAACATTAGAATAACCTTAAAATTAAGGAACCAATTAATTTTAAATAATCTTACAGTGTAATACTACATACTACATGATAAAAGAAATAATTAACCGAATGGTTTAAATGTTGACATATTAAAAAAGTAATACTTAATTTAAATCTAAATAGTGCTTGCAACATTATTAATCTTGACAATGTTTAACCGCGAAAGACGCCGTCATTGTGTAAAGGTGGCACTTCACTTAGCATTTATTTGTTTTGTTCCGCCAAATAATTTATTCGTCTTCACTTTGGCATATTTGCACAAATAAGATACATACACAAATAAGCGAAAACGCGTAAAGCCGTGTTGTTGTCATGCCAAGTGTGGATGTCATGTTTGCGCTATTTGGACAAATACGGCAAATACGCAACGCCAAGTGCCAACTTAAGAAATATAATGCCGAATTGTTGTTTTTACAAGAACCTTGATTTTATATCAATAACTTTAACTGGTGGTATGTTATTACTGGATAGAATGCCAAAATCGTAAAGTGGTGTCAATTTAGTTTTCTGGGCACTATCTTTAGCTATATAATTTGTTGGTAGATAATAATTTTTATTATAATTCAATATTTCGTCAATTTTATCTTGGGCGACTTTATTTGTTATCATATTCTTCATTTCCGTGAATATTTTGTCGCATTTTTTTGTTTTTCTGCGGTTTTGTGTGGGACAAGTCTGAAAAAGATACATTTAAAATGACAATGACTATTTTTATCATTAATTTCTTAACAATGTTTCCATCAAATGAAACTAAGTTTTTTATAGACTATAATAAATAAAATTGTCCACGTCTACCAATGATTATTATTGCTGTAAAGGAACCGAAAAGTTGGGATTATATAGATATAAAATAATAAAAAAACGTGTAGAATCCGAAAAACTTAGTTTCATTTAAATGAGTACTTACGAAAATATTACAAATCATAACTGTTAAGACCATGGAGGTCATAAAAATAATTATTTATCTTACATATTTATCATATTACTTACCAATAAAAGCGAGTCTATAACGTTTAATAGCTTCTTAGAAGAACTGCAGTGATCTTTATAATGTGGCGTGTTGATGAAGGAGCTGGTATAAAGATCGTAAACGGATGCTGGGAGTCTCTCGCTATATGATCTTATCTTATCCTTCATCTTAAAGTAATCTATGAAACCATATTTATTTAAAACACCCATCTTGTTCATGATGCAGTTAGAAGATACTGTTGATTCCTTGCACTGAAATGACATAATTTTTTTACATATCATTAAAAGTATTTTAAAATCTAAACACTCATTTTTTTTCGCGCAAATTATTTAAGTTAATCCTATGTTTAATAAACTTATATGGAGATATTGAATTATGTTACTGATTAGTGAAAATTTTCCTACTTTTTTATTGTAATCTCATTGTAATCAACACGACCAAAATAGAGATAGCAGCTCGAAATTATGAGTAATACCGAAAATTTTAATTCGCTATACTATAGCTAGATTTCGTAGGGAGAATAAGTATCTATGCAAAATAACCCTATTTACTTTTAAATCTTAAACCTCTCATCCTTGGCCCATGATAAATGCAGTAGTTTCTCTTCTTCTTGGCAATTATCTCAGCTTATTTTTTCTCAGCGTAGTTTCTAATGCGAATGGCGATATAGCCAGAGTTTTAGCTAAGCTATAGCTATTATAGCCGATTGGTTTATCGCTTTATAAGTCAAAAAACTTACGTTAACTCCTGGGCTCCAGGAATGATCCTTATTTTGGGAGACATACTCTATCTTGAAGATGGAACTAACTCCGCAGGAGTCAAGCAAATCTTTCTGGACTATGTCGGGTATGTTGCAAAATTGACGGCGGTTTTTCTAAAAATTAAGTAATATATTTATAAGAATTGCAGTTAAAATTTAAAAATAGAGAAAAAAACCTAGTTCAATTGTTCTATTTAGTTTAATTAACATTTAATTTTTAAGTCTCCTTTAAAAGCTTGAAAAATTATGTGTTTATATTCTATGTCCATAAGGCAATCTAAATGTAGATAAAACAAAATGTTTACAAGTAACGATTTTTTTTATTATTGATCAAAATAATTATGTAATTTCAAAATTATATTTTTTCCTACCGGTCCATATTTTGTGGAGCTGATTTGACAAATGATGCCTTCTTTGCTATTGGTAGAATTTCTGAAATATGAAAAAATATGTCAAAATTTGTTAAAGCATAAGGATTATGAAATGAATAAATGGTTAAAAAAATAAGAGGAACTTACTTGCACTGATCCTCTCTGTTTTCGTGCGGACAGTTCTGAAAAAGATTATAAACAATTCAGATTTAAACAGCGTCATCAAAACTATTAATAAAGAAAAAAAACTAGAAAATATGTAGAATCAATATCTGAAATCATATAAAAAGAACATTTAAATATATGATCACATAATAGATATGATCACATTTTTGATTTTAAACCTTTTTATCAAGCAAGATACTAAATTTGAAACGAATAAATAGGAATAAAACTAGTATTTTACAGATTTAATACATACGCGTTTATAATTATTTTCAACGTAGGTACTTATTTGCAGCAATACCTGTGACCATAGGCAGACGAAATAAAAAAATCTCATTATTTTCATCTCGTCGTCATCAAAACGGGATTATATTGTTAAAAATAATTATGAACACGTAATAAATTCAAAAAATACTAGTTTGATTCCAATGAATACTCGCCATTATCTTAGATCTCAGTAGAATAAATAAGAATCATGTCCTACCTCTGAAAGAACATCAAAAGTACAAGCCAAGATGCTATTAATCTCACAATCACTCTCATAACCAATAAGAGGTTTCCGCAAACAACTAGTTAAAACTCTTTCCTTGGCTGTAATCCACATTGGTTCCCTATTCGTCATATTGTCCAACAGTTTTACAAATTTCTCCACATCTACTACTCCTGACTTCGTAATTTCCATTCGATCAAAAATACACTGCTGGTTTTCGCACTAGAATAATAAATACTTCGATTAGAAGCTGTACAGATAGACTTCAAAGTATTTTGAAGTCTTAATCTAGATAAGATACCTACTGAAATTATATTCAGATTCATCAACAAAAGCAATGAAAGGAAATATTTTAATAATTTGATATACAGGGTGACTGGTGAATTACTATCGATATTTGAGGACGTGATATTTGACGATCATATACGACAAAATAAAAATTAATATAACATAAATATTAATAAACTTCTAAGTAAAGTTAACCAAAAGTTATGTAATTAATTACGCATCGTATGAACACCCTACAGATTAGGTATACTCACACACTCACACATACGCGCGCGGCGGCGTGTTGTTGTATCAGCACGCCGCCGCACGCGTCCACACTTGGAACACTTGGAACGTGTACACACTTTATTTATTTATACGGAAATTTGGTTAAAAATTAAGTACCTATTTTTTTTACATAATTCGAATGAGAATCATGTACCGAGTATTCTCCTTAAATATTGATAGTAATTCACCAGTCACCCTGTATACAGTATCTTATTTCTGTATCTAAATTTTCTTTCAAGCATTTTTTTGTTATAAATTAAAGCAAATTGTCAATAATTACTCATAGTAAGGAAGACTAAGATTTTTACAATAAAAATAGCTTGAATATTCATTCTCTTTTTGTCTTAACATTTTCAGTAATTCATATACAAATAACTGACAAACAAAATTAAATGAAACTAATATTTTCACATTTACTAAACGATTTTTATTTTTGATTAAAACAAATTGATAAACAAAATTAACTGCGTATCTTACACGAAATATGTAATTATTCTTTGATTAATAGTTGAAAATATAATAATTATATAAATGATGCAATAAGCATGCAAAGGTTTATAATCACATAATTACTAAAAGACATCTAGGTGTAATTACTAAATATAATTATTATTAATGAACTCACATTTATTGGCAACATTTTAACGTCCATATCTCTTAAGGATGAAGTGGTACTAGTAGGTACATCGTTATTTATTATTGTAAGTCTGTTCTTGACATCCCATTTAAGATTAAAACCGCATTCAGACTTCCAAGACGACTCTATGAAGCCGCTAACATCACAACAATCTAATGGATCTTCAGGCTGAAAATAATATATAACTTAGGATGGCCATAAATAAAAAAAAAATTGAATTTAAAATTTGAATTTGCAATCTGTCATAAGATCGTTAAATATGTTTAGAAAACATAGTATTTAACAGATATATAAAAGTTACGTTTATTAACTACTGCTACAAAAAAAATACTATTAGCAAGAAGTCCAAGATGAAAACTTATTGCTAACAAGCATTAATATCATCAAAATCATGAGAATGTATTATAAATTATACAAAACCCTTAGTTCCCATTAACAATTAATAATATAAATCTATATACATATTCAGAAACAACACTAACAACGTATTTGCATCTTCGCAATAATATGGAGAATGTCCAGTAGGTATTTATTTAAAAAATCGTTTTACATAATTCTATCAATGTACATATATGAAGATATTTAAGACCAGAAACGGGCAAAAACGTATCCCTACCTAATATCAAGGGTAAATAAATAAAACGTGTACATTGTGTAAGCAATAACAAAAGTCTCATACCTCATCTGTAGGTAATTCATTAAAGTTCTCATCATGTACCAACTCATTAGATATTCCTCTTGTAGACGTGATTGTACTCTGTAAATATTAAAACAAAATATTACGTACTCATACTAAAATGGATCTGATACTATTAAGTGCGTAAAAATGTTTTTGCCTACCATTGTATGAAATTCGACATTTTCTTCATTTGGTTGCACTCCATAGATTTTGTAATGAATGAATCTTTCAAAACCACATTCTTTGAGCATGTCTTCTTCAAATATATCTGGTACGTTACAACATGTTGTATGGAAATACTGAAAATAAAAAATAAATAAAACCAGTGTGCTTTAGACCATGCGACTGAAGTGAAATTTCTTTCTTACTCCCAAGTCAAGCGTGAGTAAAAGTCTTACTTTTAAAACATTTTAACGGTTAAAAGATTTGAAAATATTCAAAAATATAGATTGTTAACGACTTCCCACAAAAACAGTATGAAGATATATCTATTTTTTTTAATTATAACTTATTTCTTTAAGTTTTAAACAGTACAGTAAATATATCAAAGAATTTACATAACAACAAAGCAGTACCTAAACTATATAACTCACGTTTCTCAAAAACGCCGGAGGCCGTTTGTCAAATTTCAAATTCTGCTCTAAGTTCTCGTAACGGCTGCAAATGAATCATCTTTCATATTAAAACATCGCCCTATAAAATGCTAAAAAGAAAATATAATTTGTTTGAAACATACCTAAGTTGTTAGACAACCTTATTCCTGCAATATTAAATATCATATCGGAAGTAAATGCGCGGTAAAAATTTTATACCATCATACCCTTTGTTTGTGTAACGTTTACAGGACATATAGATTTGGAAATTAATCTCTTATATGTTTTTTCCCTTTGTTTTAATATATTTATATTTAACATACCTCTGTGAAAACATATAATTGTATCCCGCAAGGGATGATAGTGATGTGCATGAATCCGTCGTCAAACTATTAATTGGGCAGTTCTGAAAAAACATCGATTAATTTTAGTGATAGAAAAATCAACAGAAACCTAAACGACCTATAATTTAAACTTAAAATTCTCTTTTGTACATAAAAAAGTTTTTGATAAATTCTGTCAGAAATATTCTTAAAGTTTTATTATAATTACCATTACTGCATAATCCATAACACAATACATAATTGCTTGTCCCGGGCAAGTGTTAGTGTATTTTTTCGATCGTTTCTCATAACAGACATGTACCGCCGAATCCACAACATTCTGCCAACTTTCCGGAAAACGGTTTTTCAAAATTAATCCATAATGCTCTTTAGGTGGCAGCGAATCCGTTAAATTTAACTTTGTATTTAAACAACTCCATTCTTGACACTAGAAACAGAAAAATAGACTTTACCATATCTTATTAAAATTCTTATTTGTATATCATTGGGTCAATTTAAATATAACAATAAAAAAGAGATATTTTTTCTACAAGTTACTAACTGCGTTGAACAAGATACGACGATGAGTAATAACAAAGGAATTCTTTGTGTGACTTAATTAAAATCTAATATAAAAAATCAGTTTCTCAACATTCTTTGCTTCAATTGTTACTTTAATGACGTAAAATCAAATTTTAATACAATAGCACAAAGCGTAAAAGTGGTATTTTGTACGGTGTTTATACATATAACTCGTAATTTAAATCAAATTAAAATTATGAATAAATTAATAAGTAAAAAAATATTCCATATTTATTAATAAATATAATATTAATCCTACCAGTCTCGAGTTTCCCATATAAGACTTCCCGAAACCAGCCAACGCTGTAACCTTGATTAAACAATAAGGAATACATACATTAATACATAAATACCTACCTACATACATGTTTTCATTCAATAATGTAAACAAAACTTTATCTACGAGCGATGAGAACCAAGTTGAGGTCGTGTTTACAATCACGAACCCAATTAATATTGACACTACATATAATTATTGCAAAATAATGAAAAAAACTAATTAACAAGGAATTGTCAAAATGAAAACAATTAAAAAATTACAATGAAGTTTTAATGTCAAATATCATAATAAAAATTATTATAATTAAGTAAAGTTTTAAAGGGAAATGTTAAATAAACTCACCACTTGTAAAATAATACAGAAACACAAAAGACGCATGTTCACTCTGACGACTGAATAACAACTGACTTAAGTTGTTAATACTTAATTGTTGATAAACTATTTGATCCGAGCCAAAGAGGTTATCGTAAGTCTTGTACTGGTTTTAAATGAAGTAACATGAACTATTTTTTATATCTGCGACATTTAACATCTTCAGTGACGATGACCTTTAAAAAGGATGCTTAAGGGAAATATAATACAAAGAATTACCTTGAAATGATAGTAGATTCATATTAACATATAAATCTAATTAAATATTGAGATTTAAATATGAAACGAACGCTATTTCTGATGTTGTTCTAGATTATGTCGGTTGCTTACCTACTTGCCTAATTAGGGCATTTTTACATTATAAAAGGCTTTAGCTGACTTCAATAAAATGACATTCTAATTATTAAAAACATCATTATGTCTTGCGGCACCCTACAATGATTTTTTTCTTTAAATTTATTCACTAATCACCGTTAATTCTCGCTAAATACAGCCACTGATTTAGTTTCATCTAATTCTCAAATTAATCATGTTTATGCACATACGATTGAAATAAAATACTCTTATCCTTACTCTTTTCTAAAACCTTTTTTGATTCTAAGTCTTAACCCTATATCAAATGATGCAATATTTTAATTTATTACTATGTCTTCTTTTATCTATGTCACAGCGTCTACAATAAAACAGTAAAAAAATTTAAACCAGTTATTTCTCACTAATGTAATTCTTTGTTTATCTGCAAGGCTGAAAAGATTTTTAATGCGTCGTATATTTTCTACATTATCCTTAGTCCAAGTAAGCACACTGTATACAGAGCGTTAACAGTTTTTCATTCATAAATTTTCACTCTTAATATAAACTTACGTTATTAAATAAGAAACGGGAATAACTTCGTACATAGTATTACGATGGAAAATTACGATGAGCATAAACGGATTGTGTTTGAAATTCTTATAGTTTTAACACCTTATTCATTATTACCTTTCAACGATATATTTTTAATAACGAAGTATATAATTTTGTAACTATAATCACTAGAATATAACATTAAAGATTCATCATATTTCAACAATCAGTGTAACATGAAATTATTTTTATCTTTATTTATTACATGTTTTGAAAAACGCCCCAAACAACGACAGTTATTAAAATATTTTTAAAATGATTTTCACCCAAAACAAAAAATATATTGAACAGCCAATATAAATTATAATTTGAATGTATGCACATTAATTTAATATGGCCGGTATTTTTATTGATATTGTTAAAAGCGCCATCTAGTTACATATAGACGAACTACGAAACATTGTAATAAAGGAACACTTATTAAAATTTAAAATTAATCTCAAATCTCTAAATATCGAAATCCAGGTAATTTTAAACTGATAACAGGCTCAACATATTTTTAGGGTAAAAGTTCTTAAGTAATACATACATATATTGTTAATTAAAATAAATAAATGTAAACAAAATAAAACGCCACTAATTGTCTAACATAATTTATTTAAAATCCATAACTTAATAATACACAAGCTACAAGCGTGCATCAACCTCACGTTGTTAAGTGCTACAATCCATGGTATGAGGAAAACCTGGAAACAAACAAAATTATACTTCATTATGATTATTTGTAAACATTTTGAAACACAATAAAAATAAAATAAATACTTGGACATAAATTTTATTATATATTTAAAGTACAAATGCTTCATATTTTTGGTTACAAGAAACTATTATTAGGTTGAGCAAAGTACATATTTTTGATAGTAACTAATTTATTAAGTGTAGTAAATAAGTTCACCAAGTTTATTTGTTTTTAATCTTAAACAGAACAAATATTTTTTTTATATTATTTACAACCCACAAACCCACATTGAGGTTGAGTGTTGGGTAAAGTGTAATATAATTTTGATAATGCCTCAAAGTTTTTCGACTGTTACTTAATTTTAAACATCACCATTAATATTAAATCCTAACAATTGAAAATGTGCTATAATAGATGTGGAATAGAAAATTTCAAAGAAGTAACTCTTGAAATAATTATTATCAATGGATAGTACAAAAAGCAATACAAAACTATTATGATTTTGCAAACATTTTTATCTTGGTATTCAGTAAATTATTAAAATAGAATAATGGACAAAATAATAATAAAAAATAACTATTTATAACTGCTGACAAATAACTGTAATACTTAGGCTAAAGTGAGAAACCTCGGCAATATTAATTCAGTGACTTTTTAGACATGAGTTATTTAAGAACAGATAAATCTATGCATAATAAAGTTTTATATGAAATATTAAAAAGATAAAAAAAACTCTATACAAAGTAAAGGAATATTTTACATTGTATGTCTGTTTCAAATACATATATTTATATACATATTTAAAACAATTCCCATCTCTAAATTTTAATTACACTTATTTGTTCATACTAACAATGTTTTAAATGTAGTTTTCTTGTTGTTTCATACAAAAGAAATTTAATATAGTTATAAATATGTTGCATTTGTCATTATTCCGTCAGATTTATCTCAGGATATATACAGGGTGACTGGTGAATTACTATCAATATTTAAGGAGAATACTCGGTACATGATTCTCATTCGAATTATGTAAAAAAATAGGCACTTAATTTTTGTCAAAATTTCCGTATAAATATGTAAATAAAGTGTTGACACGTTCCAAGTGTTCCAAGTGTGGACGCGTGCGGCGGCGTGCTGATACAACACTACGCCGCACGCGTTTGTGTGAGTGTGTGTGTATACCTAATCTGTAGGGTGTGCACACGATGCGTAATTAATTACATAACTTTTGGTTAACTTTATTTAGAAATTTATTAATATTTATGTTATATTAATTTTTATTTTGTCATATATGATCGTCAAATATCACGTCCTCAAGTATCGATAGTAATTCACCAGTCACCCTGTATACCTTGTGTTTTAAGAACAAGCTTTCAATGTTATTTACATGGGATAAGTACTTCAAGTATTGAATTAGTCCAAAAACATTATTCTTATGCTTATTCAAAAATTCAAAGGTTAAAATATACTACTTATATTCTAGTAATTGATTATTAATTAAACTTTAAGCTTTATTACCTAATGATCCATCCAGCTCAAAGGAAAGCTCCAAAGCCAAATGCTCTTTTGATGCTATTGAAGTAATAGCGTTTCCAATTTTCCCGTGTTTGTTCAATTTCTTGGGAGGGAACCAGATCTTGTTTGAGAGTTACAAGGGTGTGATCATCCTGAAATTATCAAAAAATATGATAAGTATGAATTTTATTCCTTTACATATGATGAAAAGGTGGAAATTGTGATTTATTTCTTAGCTTGAACATTATAATAATCAAAATGTATTATAAATCACATATATTAATATAATTTAGTTTAATTCAATTAAAGATATATCAATAAATGCTTTTCTTATAAGAAAAACTCGCATATGAATATAGTTATTTTACATAATATAGTTATGTAACTTTTGCAAACATAAATAATGCATGGGATGAAATTCAAATTATATTTAAAATTGAATCGATGACAGAATGTTCTACTGAATACATATTTTTGGTTAGTATTTAAAATAATTAGCTTTAATTTTACAGTGAAATAATTTCAAAAATATCTGAGATCACAATTGTATGTAATATTTTGTGGTTGTTATCTATAATATTAGTTTAGAATACAAATAATACCAACCTTTTCTTCCATAGTGAATGTAACTTCGGAGAAATGGTGGTCCGGCCACTGCTTATATCTCCAAAGCTGTACAATCTTCTTGCCGGGAACCAACTCTCGAAATTCACCGCTAACATTGCCTCCAAACAACGAAAATTTACCACCCTTCTCCGCTTCCATTTTAACATGGCCCTGAGTGAATGCCGTGACCATTTCTATTCGAGTCATCGCATCATAAAATTCATTTGCCCGGCATTGAAATGTCTCCGTCAATTCAATGATTTTTGTATCTAATTTACAGCCAATTTGCTGTTTATTGTTCGACAGCACTGGTTCCATACTGATTTTCTTATTAAAACCGCTTGTTATGGTTGAAACATTGTCGGGCTTGATCGGAGCCTCTCCTTTCTTTGGAAGGATGAGACCTTTCGAGAATTCTTCCTTTAGGCTTCTAATGTATTCCGATAGCTGTTTCCTTATCTGATCTTTGCCGACGTTGTGCATGAATGCTTTAACCCTTTGAGCTTCATCCCCACTGCCCTTGATGGTAACAGTCATCTGTTGAAAGTGTTATCAGAATTAAATAAATATATTTATATACAGTTCACTTATAACTTTAGAATATTTTCGCAAATTAAAACAATCATAATTCAGTTATGGTCCATATACTATATACCTACTAGGTTTCTTATTAGAAAAACCTATTAATTCCATTACTATATACAGAACTTCTATACATTCCTATTTAATTTCATTCAGTTAACCCTATTTTTAGTGAATACAAATTAATAAATATAAATGGATTACAAAATCGTTTTTAACGCCGATATGTTATTATTACAGTTTGTTTAATTCATATATATTGAAACCAAAGACAGATACTAACGTTCACACCTAGGTTTTATATGCGAATTTTCTCTAGAAGTTTTATTTAATAAATTTGTAATATGAATACATTTGAATAATTCTACTTACGTCCACTTCGCTGACATCATTCTCTTCAGATAAATTAGGGATATGAACTTCCCCTTTGATTTTCTCAGCCGCACCAGCCAAGACGCCTTCCCATTTCAATTTAATGTCCCATTCGTAAAAGAATATTAATTTACCTTTCCTATTATTCGCGGTCGCCTCACCGTCTATACTTTCGACATTTGTTATCTTACAATCTATACCATTTTGGGCTATTTTTAAATTATTCAGTAATTCTTTCAAACGGTCCTTCGACCATGGACCAGCATTTTTTTCTGTCCAATGCCAGTTATTTACGTTAGTCGCATCTGGACGCTCTTCTACAATCCACCGAGGATCCCCTTCACCCCACTTGGCCATTGATCTTTGCCAAAATCCAACACGAGGTATGAAATGATGTGCGTTTTTCGAGCACCACCTCAAATAGAATGACTTCAAGGTTTTCAGCTGTCACAAAAAACGTAACTATCTGCTGTTTTGAAACTCAGAATGCCGCTTGACATAAACAATCAGTGTCGTTAATTTGAAACAAAAATCTGTGTTAAATTGTCGTAATAAAACTTTCGACTGTTCACTGCTTTTTTGCACTATTCGAGAAACGTCGCGCACACACTATGAACTCAATGGCAGTTGGACTGACATTGTCTGTGTTACCCTTTTCAAGTATTTGAAATATCCCCACATATCTGAAAAAAGGGTATATCAGGACTATAACAAGTTGAATCTTCTATTAGGACACTTTTAATGTCGTTTAAAACGATACATTGTTATAATTCTTTCGCAGTACGTTGTTTAAGTCTATTTTTCTCATTAAATTCTCAACAAATACATAAAACGTAAATTATATCACAGAGAGAATTCACACTAATAAGTGGAGTTTCCATACATCTGGTAACATTGTTGTAACTTCTGTAAGTTTCTAGAAAACTGTCTACTGTACAGACTAAAAATCCGGAAGCCATAAAAACGTTCTGTTTTACGTTTGAACATTGTTGTGTTATTTAACTTGCTAAGTCCATTGTTGCTAATAATTAACTTACTTTATAAGCTATATGATTTTCCAACTTTAATACATCCAATTCAATAAGTGGATGAATATCTTTATGAATCACCTTTTTAAGTCTTATTATATTGCAATAACAACAGGTTAAATCGATTTCTGAATTCTGATGTTTATAAATAAATATCGCTCGTTATTTATAACCTCATAACAGAAAAGTTATTTTCTAAACGCCAACTTAAGTACTTAAGTGACTTAATTACATTGCAAATTCTAAATAAGTTAAACACTAGACTGGATTTTTTAATTTATTTTTAATTTAAAAATCAGATTATTATACAATTTTAATAAATAATGTAAATCTTTTAAAAATAAATATTGTTCTTAGTTCAATTAACTTGTCCATTTTTTTTTTTGCAAAAGTTGTTGGCCCAGTTTTTCCACATTTCGTATAAAATATATTAAGAAGATATTTTTTTAATAAAAAAAGAACTATCTTTCTGTCGGAATGATATAATTTGATGAGGTTGCAACCATGAACACGATTCAAGTTTCAATTTAGAGTATCAACAAAAGATGTATGCATAATATTTATGAATCTATCACGAAATTTCTATTTCTTTATATGTATAATATATAGGTATTCTAAGTTTGTATTGCCTCAATACGTATTCAACGTTAACAGTTCTTCATTCATAAATTTTCGCACATCATAGAAACCTACACTTGGGTCGCAAGTCCCACGCACTGTTGAAGCTCCTCTCACTACAACGATGGACCCGACACCTACACGGTGAATACATTGAATGCTAAGAGTTTTCGTCTTGTCTCTTAATGTGTTATATTAAATGACGAAAGTTAAACGCATCGTATTTAGGGTGACGATGTAAACATTGAATAAGCAAGCTGAATATTGTGTGCTGTAGCCTGTACTCGATTATAAATTAAAAAAAAAAATAACAACCATGTACTAATAAAATTAATTATGATTTCAGCCTAACTGCTCTGACTGTGATCACAAAGTAACTTTTAAAATGATTCTATTCATTCAGCTTCCTATTTTTATTTTTAGAAAAATAACAAAACCAAAACTGTATCCATATTTATGTTACTCGAAAGCAAATTATAATTAGGATATTGCGTAAGAGACAATTTAAATCGCTCTTCTCCAATGAAATTTTTATAGTTATTGATTACAATAGCCTCACGCATAATTCTTGAGCAGCAATGACAGCTAATTGAAAGGATTTTTGGACAGACTGAATGACTGAATCCAGTAATTAATAATGTATTCACAGTACCAACTACAGCTCACTTTAATATTCAGTGCAAAGAGAATAATTCCTTAAGATGGACCCGATCTTACCAGTCACTCTTTTGACGTACGCTAAAATGGCAAGGGTTATCTTATTCAAGTTCTAGAACACCATTCACTTGTCTATAGGCTTGTTCACGTCTTAGAACATTTATCAGTGGTCTACCAAATATGCATCCTTATTTAGTAGCTCCTGAATATGAACTAGTTCGGACTATGTAGTCGTGTTTGGGGTCATTATAGTCGTTGGATCTATTCTTTATTCCGTATTCAGATGATGAGATTGATGATAAGACGTTGCATAAAGATTCCTACGTACTATGAACTAGAAATCTATCTGCTGACACCGTTGCCTTAATCTATTTTCCTCCTCCTTCTCTTTAATTGTGAATTCCATCTTTGGGCGAATGGAATTCATGTAATCCATATATTAATCCAGCATTAGGTTTCTGCTACTTACACTAAATACATTTTACACGTACTTTTTCCATAGTTTAATAGTTTGTGGGCCCGAGATCTGACATGCTCATCATCTGTGAAGAGATCTCGCTGTATGTGCTGTGCTTATATATATTTAATAATTGGATTTTTTAAATATACATATGTATGTCTATTATACTTTAAGGTGTAAACACCTAACTAATATATAATGAAACAGAGGTTTAAATTACATTAAAGTAATTACTTTTCAGGTAGTAAAAACTTTGTGGATTGGATAACTATCCATATAGCTTTAGTTTAGTTATATTAAATTTGCATGATCCGTTTATCTCCATTAAGTTAACACGCTAATTATCTCAAAGAACGAAAGTTGATCAATAAGGATATTCATTGTTATACAAATCATGTTTTTCCTTTTTTGCTACTAAAGTACGATGGATAGATAGGTTTTCAGTTTGTAACACTCAACTACCTACTTGAATTTAGTTTGATGTCGATGCTAGCTAGTGGTAAGCGTATTGGTGTAAGTAACTTTAAATTTAACCTCCCTTACATAAGAATAAAACAGTACACGAGGAAACAAATACATTTCCTTGAATATAATCTAAATATAATATAACTAGCTTTCCGCCCGCAGCTTCGCTCGAGTGGAGTTCACTTATATCGCGTTCCCAAGAAAACCTTTCAAAAGTCGGGGATAAAAAAAAACTACCTCTGTTCTTTCTCAAGGTCAACTCTATCTCTGTACCAAATTTCATTAAAATCAGTTCAGTGGTTTAAGCCTCAAAGCGTGGCAGACAGACAGACAGAGTTACTTTCGCATTTATAATATTAGTAGGGATAACGAAAATTACTTCGACGATTATATTTGTATTGTAACAGCAGTTTTTATAACATTAAAAATTAAAGCATTAATAATTAATTAACATTTTATTCATGTTCATCAATACTTAATTGTCTAATTTATCATTTTCGATATTTTATCTTCATTACAACAGATCTTGAATAAGTAGTTGTTATTATGCGAAGTTCATATCAATTATTATTTCAATACATACAAGTAATTCGGCAGAACTTGTTATCTGTGCGAGTGAGAGAACTAAATAGTCTTCATACCAGTTTATATTCTGACGGCGTACGAATCGCACGCGCATAACAATGTTCCCGTTAAGACGAGTTGGCAGTAAGGTTTGTATAAAATTATTTATACTATAAAAGTTTCATGTGATATATTATTATAATCGGATTGTGGTTGCAGATTTTAAAACAATGGCGAACTCCCGCAGCCGCTGTTTCGCAAACGCAAAAGAATTTCAGCTCAGAAGCTCCGAGACCACTTTCTGTATTGACAGAGGATGAACTAGCCATGAAGGATACAAGTAATTGATTTGACATTTTATTATTATTAACAAAAGCACGAACTAATTATTATAATTTTACGTTGCTTAATCATTAGCCGCTTTTGTAGTTTATCATAAAATCTTTATTGGATACTATAAGATTATTAAATCTTTACAGTCTTATTAACAAAAAGTCAAATAACACATAATATGCATTTATTTTTATATTTCGAGATACAATTTTGTTTACAAGACCGTTATTACATAATAGCAACGAAAATGGTTTGTTCTAAACCTGTTTTCGTTCTCAATATTTGTGTAGGCTTGTTGTTTGCAAAACGATAATAATATTGAATAACTAACAGAATAAGTTAAAGTTGATAACATAAAGTTAATAATAAAGACAATATATTTTAATATTTTTGCAAAAAAAAGTATAAAATGACAACAGTCTATTAATAAAAATCTATAACATAAAAATCTCGAAATTCTCAATAATTACTTTATAGGAATTACAGATTATTGTAATTATAAACATAAGAATAACCGTAATTTTACATCAAATAACACGTGGCACCACTAATTATCCGATAGACAGATTTACAAAGTAATTAAAACTATTAAACTGTTTTTATTTCATAACGTGCTAAAAAACTAACCTAAACAAGTGTCATATGTACTATATAGATTGAATTTGAAAATGTCAGTTATTTATTGACATTTAACAGTCAAAAACTATTGATTATTGACAGTGACGTAACCTTGAACAGTATTTTTTTGTGTACTGTTATCTTTAAACGTAAAACAAGTCTTGTGTAATAATTAATTTAGATAACTTCATTTTGTTTATTGAAGATTATAGTACTATGATAGTTTAATGCCCCTATTTTTACAAGAAATGTAATCTTTAGTACCTACTATTTGATGTGTGTACATATTCTAGACTGGAATAAATAACTAGGTTGTGGTTTACGCTTCACCGGCTTGAAATTTTATATACATAGGAAAATTGTATTGGAAACTAAAACATTTTCTTAAAGCTAACTGGAAATGTGAATTTAACTATCGTGGATTCTTTTTCTCGATTAAGATGTATAAAACTTTAAGATATAAGGAAAAATTCATAGATAAAAATTTTTACGGAAAATGAAGATTAGTAAAGGACATAATATATTATGTTTTATGTTATATTTCTTATTACAAGTTTCGCATCATTACACATACGTAACTATATGCGTAAAATTTTAAAGTATTATGAAAATGGTTAAATGTTTAGACAGGAAATTTTTCGATATAAATGAGATAATAATAAATTTTGTACAGTATACTTATCAGTCCTTCAATCATACATTATCAGGGCTGGCAACATGGGCGGTCCTTTTTAACTGACCTATGAAAACTACTAAAGAGAGTGCAAATAATGAAATAAATAAATAACATTGTTGCAAATCTTATACCAATACTTACAGAAAGTACATAAAATTTGACAGACTTGTAGTTAGATAAAAAGTAGTCAATCAATGAAGTTTTAATCTTTTATATCAACTCCTTTTCAAAACGTACTAACCGAAATTCAAGTATGTTTATAATTCACTTATTTCAAGGCGGTTGGTAACGGAAAGTACAAATAATTCCATTTTGAGACGATATGCAAAGCGATGATAAGATTACTCCTCAAATACATTTTAAAGTGACAGACTGTACTTATCAGAATTACGTAGGAATGTATTCAAAATAACAAACAATAAAGAAATATCAACATTTGTATATTAATTTATTACTAAAATATATTTAAGTGGTCAGTTGTAGCCTAGTGGTTAAAAGGCCCGCCTCTCATGCTCGAGGGCGCGGGTTCGATCCTGGCCCGGGCAAGTACCAATGTGATTTTTCCGAATCATATGTAATTTCTAAGAGTATTTAGACATCACTCATTAATGCATTCCCTAAGAGGGTTGATGTCAGGCAGGCAGACGGTCGTAAAAACAATTAGCCAAAACTAATCACACATCTAAGGCAGGCCCTGACTAACGCTGGGAAACTGCTAGGTAGAAGAAGAAGACTAAAATATATTTAAAATTTATTGACAACTGATGCTTTTAAGTAATTTTAAAGTCTTTACGTAATTTTCTAAACAACCGTTTCCGCCAATTACTTCTGTGTTGTCATAACAAATTATTAGATAGTTTATTTCATCTCCTTTTTTTATATTTCAACATTAATTTTAATTATATGTATAAAGTTAGGTTACACGAATATTTCATTATATTTTCTAAACATTTTAAATTTGCGAAGCCCATTTTTTTTACTACTAATATGCATGTTTGATCATTGAACACTCAATAATTAAGCATGCATTGCTAGAAACAATTGATTTAAAATAATATTTAAATCTATATATATAAAAGAAAGTCGTGTTAGTGACTCCACTTATAACCCAAGAACGGCTGAACCGATTTAGCTGAAAATTGGCAGGGAGGTAGTTTAGAACCAGGTTATTGCAATAGGATACTTTTTATCCCGTTCGACAGCATTCCCGTGGGACTTGACATGAAACGTCAGTCACTATAAAACGTGGAACAACACAATTGACAGCTATGCAATTGACGTATGATGACAGATATGTAATGACGTATGGATGACAATTAGTTATTTGTAAGAAATCTACTATATAAAAATAAAAATATTTAGGTATTGTGTTTGTAGTTTGAACTCTTAAAATTATTTAGTATTTGCGGGATAAATTTTGAAAATTATTGTTTTTCACATGGGCAATTATATTTTGCGTGTTCACGAGTTTGGAAACCATACGCTTTATTTGTGTTAAAGTTAGACCAAAAAACAAAAAATGTGGTTTACAAAGGAGCACTTCAATGAAACGAATAATTTGCGGACACGTATAACGCTTCGATTCGGTATCTACTTTGGATTCACTTTCATTTACTTAGAGAAGTTCAACTAAATAACACTTCATTTTTGTAATCGAAATGAATTCATTACTGTTGTGAAATGAAATAAAAATTTTTCTTTTCAAATATAAAACAAGAAATTCTTCATCTTTTAATCAGCAAACGAAATGTTATATAAAAGCCTTCTGGTGGCGAAACGGAGTTCGCCAGGTTTACTAGTAATAATATATTTTTAAAGTACACTAGTTTCATTTAAATACTTAAATTATTTAAATGAAACTAGTATAATATATAATTTATTTTTCTTTCATTCTAGAACTGAAGAATAGGTAATTCTTTGTATATTATATTCATACAAAGATAGTTGATTTTTCTTATGTAAATTATAATTTTATTCCAGTAAGGAAACTAGCCACGGAACAAATAGCACCATTAGTTAAAAAAATGGAAGACGAACACAAAATTGACGAAACCGTTAGACAAATGCTGTTCGATAATGGGGTAAGTTAAAAATGTTAAAATGTTTCTCGGTTCCGACATATACTCTCTTTATTGTATAAAATCCTTAAAAATAACTTATACTGACAAAAAACCTTATAAAGTTAAATTAGTTATTTCGAAGTGGTAAAGCCTAGCTGTGGTCAAGTTACTACAGCTCGAACATGGGCTGGCTCGACCGTAAGTACCACCCTCTCACAGAAGATCGGCGTGAAGTAGTCTTTAATGGCTGAGTTTTGTCCGATGAGTGAGAGAGACTCTTGCTCTTTCCCTGTTCCTAATACTTTGTCTTTTTCCCAACAATCAAGGCTGCAAACATAAGATAGGTATTTTGAAGCTCATGAGTGACGGTGATTACTGCCCATCAAGTAGACCGTCTACTCGTTTGTCCCCACATAAAAAAAATGGTTCGTTGACAACCAAAAACTATACAATTAATTAAGATTCATATATTAGAACGAACTTTTAACTACGTCCAACATAGCACCTAACTAACTACATATATTATGGGAGTATTATTGATAAAACATACTGTTATCACCAGTTAATGGGCATTGAAACGCCAGTGGAGTATAGCGGCTCAGGTTGTGGTTTCCTCACGATGATGTTAGTGGTTGAAGAACTATCGAAGGTTGATCCAGCCGTGGCCGCCTACGTTGACATTCACAACACACTAGTGAACTCGCTGTTCATGAAATTGGGCACCGAAGAACAGAAGAAGAAGTATTTGACTAACCTCTGCACTAAATATGTGAGTAATGGAGTTTTTTTAAACGTATTTTGACTATATAATAAATTATTAAGTACAATGTTCACGTTAGGTTGTTGTTAGCAACGGTAACATATACATATATTACTAGCTTTCCGCCCGCAGCTTCGCCCGCGTGGAGTTCGGTTATAACGCGTTTCCAAGAGAACCTTTCAAATGTCTGGGATAAAAACTATACCTACTATGTTCTTTCTCAAGGTCAACTCTATCTCTGTATCAAACATTAAAATTAGTTCAGTGGTTTAAGCGTGAAAGCGTAACAGACAGACAGACACAGTTACTTTCGCATTTATAATATAAGTAGGGATTTATAATAAATCAATTAAAATTATATATAAGGGTTCTTAATTTTTTCGAGTTTAATTCGTAAATTAATAACAATATTTATTTAAATACGTCACTTTAAGTTACCTGGGTGGCCAAAATTTGAAACGTGTAATCTTAAAGATAAAATTCATGATTACATTGAAAAAACAATCGTTATATTCAACAAGTCACAGAGTAAATAAATCAAAGACACAAGAATATTGTTCAATCATTGCAAGATATTATTTAAAATTATTTTTTTTAACATCATATATTTTTAATTATCTGTTGTTTTATATTAAAGAGGATCGACATTTAAATGATTTCACGCTTACTTTTTTGTTAAGTAACATTTTTGTGTTTTATATAGAAATGAAGTTATTGGACCATAGAGTTTATTATTTTATTTTTTGCTTTACAGGCTGGCAGTTTTTGTCTGACTGAACCTACATCAGGTTCTGACGCCTTCTCCCTCAAAACCGTCGCGAAGAAGGACGGCAAGGATTTTGTCATTAATGGATCCAAAATGTGGATATCAAATTCAGATGTCGCCGGAGTATTTCTAGTCATGGCGAATGCTGATCCCTCAAAAGTATGTAATATTTTATACTATCTATTGGTAACTAAAACGAATTTACAATTATGTTCTAAATTCAAAAAAGTCTTATCGTTAGATTTGGTAGGCAGAAGAAATAATTCTCAGTTATGTTCTAAATTCAAAAAAGTCTTATCCTTAGATTTTGCTGGCAGAAGAAATAGTTCTCAGTCATGTTCTAAATTCAAAAAAGTCTTATTGTAAGCTTTGGCTGGCAAAGGTAATAATTCTCACTTATGTTCTAAATTCAAAAATGTATTATCGTAAGATTTGGTTGGCAGAAGAAATAATTCTCAGTCATGTTCTAAATTCAAAAAAGTCTTATCATTAGATTTGGTGGACAGAAGAAATAATTCTCAGTCATGTTCTAAATTCAAAAAAGTCTTATCATTAAATTTGGTTGGCAGAAGAAAGAATTCTCAGTCATGTTCTAAATTCAAAAAAGGTCTAATGTTTTAATTTGGTTGACAGAAGAAACAATTCTCAGTTCGTATATGTTTTTAAAAAAATTCTATCATTTCTTGTATCTTCAGTACGATGTCAAATAAATTACATACTGTTATTGTTGAAATTATTACGTGAGCTGTCATTCATTATCGTAATATGACCCACAAACGTCATTATCAAGTGACGCAACATTAATTATACTATTCGTTTTCGCATATATATTTATCTTGTGTATTTTATATGATATTTAATATATAACTATGGATTTATAGTCGAAACTTCATATTTTACTTCTAAACGATACATGATTATTTCGTATGAAAGAATTTTTGTAGCAAATGACTTTAATTGTTCGTTTTTATATTTTGTTAGCAGCTATACAATTGTATTATTATTTTATATATTTAAAGTGTTATTAAAATCTTTTTTTACTTAGTAAGATTACTTAGGAAGGCATGTTTATGTTGAGATAATGCTTGGACATATTTTCATTACGGATGACGTAAACATTTTTTTAAGGCGATAAATTTATTATTTTGATCATACTATAAAATATGTAGCTAATTATAGACAGAAAATATTAAAAAAATGATATAAATATATCTATTGACGAGAAAAAAATGTGTTACAAATTCTATTTAATGTAAAAACGTACTAACGTACGATATTAACGACTAAAAGATTAATCGTTCTTGTTTAAAATTACTCACCGCAATATCTTATGAACACAAATATTATTGAGTATAAATAAATATATTTGTCAATAAATGATAGATGTTGTTTAAAGACTAGTTTATTTACAAATAACTTTGATATTAGTATAGGAAATTGTTTGTAAGCTTCTGTATTATTGAAGTTAAATCAGGATCTGCAATTCATTCGTTTTAAATAATATTTGATTGATTTGAATTGGCTTCATGATGACACTAGACACGTCAATTCGTGTAACATCACTATATTTTAGATAGGTTTCGAAAATATTCCCATTCAATATAGGTAACAAAAAATATTTCAGTATTTTATATAGAATTTAAATCATTTTTTATTACAGTCACTAATGTCATTGATTTGACTTTTTTGTATAAATGTAAAGGTTCACAGCAATTAATATTGTTTATAACCGAGGCATTATTATATTATAGCTACAATAGTTTTTGTTTCAAATTTAAGATTTAATTTGGGGTCATAACAATACAGATTAAAAATAAAATAAGTATAATTGACCTACATAGAAGATATCTGTGGTAAACTTCAAATTTGCAAAATAATTATTCTTTACTAGAAGACCCAGCGAACTTCGTATCGCTCTATAATCAAGAAATATCTGTTATGTTTTTTTATTTATATTTTTGGAGTTTACCTGTAAGCCATAAATCTCCGTGTTTTGAAGTGCGACAAAAAGATTGACATATTAGTTAGTTGTCAAATCTAATGTCAAAAAAAACGTTTGTATGGGAAATAGAAAAGGGCTGTTTTTATGGTTTTCCCAGTAATGAATCAATTATTTTCACCTTTTATACCTTCCCTGAACCTCCACGAACATTTCAAGACTAAGATAAGATAAATCCGTTCAGCCGTTCTCGAGTTTTAGCGAGACTAAGGAACAGCAATCCATTTTTATATATATAGAAGATAGAAGATAAAAGATATAGGTAACTAAGTTTAATCCCAGATCGTTTTTCTTCCACTCTACACGACACTGGCAGAAATCAAAATATACTACGCACATCTTTGCGCGGACGAGGGCTTTATTAAAAACAACTTAAACTTTTTACATATTGCGAAGATTTTTATAATAATGATATTTAATATTAAGGTTGACGTTATCAAACTTTGTATGATTGTTAGTTTTCTTTAATTTTCTAGGGCTACAAAGGCATAACATGCTTCATAGTAGAACGGGAGACTCCTGGTTTAAGTGTAGCGAAGCCGGAGAACAAACTTGGTATCAGAGCGTCCGGTACATGTATGGTGCACTTCGATAACGTCAGAGTACCAGAAGAAAATATCTTGGGAGAATATGGACACGGGTAAGGATAATTAAAGAAAACAATACGATAAATACACATATATTATCGATACACCATTATTTATTCAATTGATAATTCCTACTTACAGTGTTAAAATTAAAACAGACTTTGTGGTTAGTCTGACGAAATAAGTCGTAGTAGGTACATAATGAGTATGTACTTAGACTCGTGAGTATTCATTTAAATGAAACTAATATTTTTCGGATGTACCTACTACGAAATTTTTATTTTTGATTATAAGCTACATACTCCCGACATTTAAAGTAGTAATTAGTTTGATTTAAATGAATACTCGCGAAAGTCTTAGATCTCATTAAACTAATATTTTTCGGATTACACCACGCGTATTTTATTATTATAAACACTACATACTTTCGACGTTTCGGTTATTTTGTAGCAACCGCGATCACGGGCATGAAATGTCTGTAGTTTTTAAAATAATAAAATACGCGTAGTGTAATACGAAAAATATAAGTTTCACTCGTATGTAGTAAATAAGTCAATTATAATAACACACTAACTACGTGTAGGTTATCATTATTTTGTTTTACAATGATAATAAATATCCTTACTATAATTTACGCCAAACTCAACATTGTCAGTTTATTCGTCAATACTTTTTCGTCATTCGTGTCACCAATTGTAAAGTTATATACGTAGCCCTACTAAATGTATTTATTTCATTTGGAGTGTAAAATAATAAATTAATACTGTATTACTATTTCTATACTTCTAGATATAAATACGCGGCGGGTTTCTTAAACGAGGGCCGTATTGGTATCGCATCACAAATGATCGGTCTCAGTCAAGGCTGTATGGACGCGACTATACCTTACACACTCGAGAGGAAACAGTTTGGAAAGAAGATATACGACTTCCAGGTAAACATGACAATTAAGATATATACATACTAGCTGCGCCCCGCGGTGTTACGCGCGGATTTCCGGGATGTAAAGTAGCCTGTGTGTTATTCCTGGACGTCAGCTTCCTGTATACAAAATTTTATCAAAATCGGTTCAGCCGTTTGAGCGTGAAGTAGTAACAAACATACACACACACTCACAAACTTTCGCAATTATAATATTAGTAGGATAAAGTTATCACGCCACATTGAAATATATACTTTAATGAGAAGCCAATAAGGATTAATGTACAATTTAAAATACTCGTTAAAATTTTTATTATATTTGTATTAAGTTAGGTACCTTTATGCTTGAAGTAATTAATACAGAAAGCGTGAGAAGTCGCAAGTAAAAGTTATATGAAATAATACATGAAAATGCCTGAATATCATGTGCCTGTGCTTTTGGTATTTGCTCCAACAAAAACTATAATAAAAAATCTACTCCTTTAAAAACGCTTTTGATTAAAGCGTGAAAAGGATACTATATCCTGCCAAGGAGTATGACGAATAATTGTACCTAGTTTCGGTAAAATTTCGTCGAGTAGTTTTGGTTTCTATAAGAAATATACAAATAACCAGACAAATAAAATCTGAATGCATTTTGGGCATCAGTACCGATAACTCACCCATTATTTGAAAATATATTTCATGTACATAATTGACCTCTCTATAGTTTTATTATAAATATAGATTGTATGTATTTATTTCACCTTGTATATATTATATGTATCACTAGCTTTCCGCCCGCAGCTTCGCCTGCGTGGAGTTCGGTTATATCGCGTTTCCAAGAGAATCTTTCAAAAGTCTGGGATAAAAACTATCTTATGTTCTTTCTCAAGGTCAACTCTATCTCTGTACCAAATTCCATTAAAATCAGTTCAGTGGTTTAGACGTGAAATCGAAACAGACAGACAGAGTTACTTTCACATTTATAATATTAGTAGAGAACTGGTTTTTAATTCGATATAATTTTTATGTATAATTCAAATCTTATGTAACTTTTAGTATATATATTAAAGTCATCCCAATCTTTCACCAGGGTATCAGCTACCAGATCGCACATCTTCAGACTCAGCTTGAGGCAGCTCGTCTCCTTACATACAATGCTGCCAGGCTCAAGGAAAACGGAATGGACTTCGTCAAAGAAGCCGCTATGGCTAAATACTTTGCTTCAGGTGAAAAATATTATAATAATAAATAATACTATAGTAAACTAACTGCTCCCCGCAGTGTTACCCGCGGATTGCCGGGATGTAAAGTAGCCTATATGTTATTCCTGGACGTCAGCTTCCTGTATACAAAATTTTATTAAAATCGGTTCAGCCGTTTGAGCATGAAGAAGTAACAAACATACACACACACTCACAAACTTTCGCAATTATAATATTAGTAGGATTCGTATGATAACGTTGTTGGCTGTTGCCTAGTGCTTAAAGGCCCGTCTTTCGTGATGAGGGCGCGTGTTCGAAACCTGGCAAGTACCAATGTGATTTTTCCGAGTCATATGTACTTTATAAGAGTATTTAGACATCCCTGACAGACGGTGAAGAAAAACATCGTAAGGAAACCTGGACTTATAATTTCACAATTATGAGTTTGAAATCGCCAACCCGTCTTGAGCAAGTGTGGTGATTAATGCTCAAACCTTCTCCATGTGAGAAGAGGTTTGCTCAGCAGTGGGCTCTGATAGGCTGACAATGAAATCTGTATTAGTTCAGTCAATGTATTACAAATTTCAGTTGCTTCATAAAACATTTACCAACTGTGCTTGAATGCCCCTTTAAGAGAAAAAAATATATTTATATTTCAGCTATACTCAATAAATATCAGATAGTAGATCAAAATTATAAGCAGAGGAGCTTTGTTTTGATGATAATCCATATATTATTATCTATCGGTGATTTCCAATCACTTTGTTTTTATTGTTTTTTTTTATCTCATCATTGATTAAACACTTCAAAATTATATTGTCTGTATATCTACTAGGCTAGGATAATTTCAAACAGAACCTATTTCAAGAAAAGACACAAAAAAGAAAGTTTCACAAATGTGATATTTAATCGAATATAAAATACATTCCATATTATTATATATCTTGTAACTTCTTAGAGCAATTTAAATTTGTTATCAAATAATACTCTAGTTCTTTTATCTAGACAAGTTTGTTGGGCACCTCTTACAGGCCATATACTTATATGAAATTATGTATAATATTTTACCACATTCTACATATACGTTGTAAATAAAATACTTATACTTCTTCAGTTCACCTTATGAAAAGAAAAGGTCACTTCTATGTAAACAGCGATTGTTTGTTATCCTAATACTATATCACTGTAATCTATAAAGATTTATATATATACTATACTAGCTGCGCCCCGCGGATTTCCGGGATGTAAAGTAGCCTATATGTTATTCCTGGACGTCAGCTTCCTGTATACAAAATTTTATCAAAGTCGGTTCAGCCGCTTGAGCGTGTAGAAGTAACAAACATACACACACACTCACAAACTTTCGCAATTATAATATTAGTAGGATAATGTTACCACATTTTACATATATAAATACATTAATAACAAATTTCTTATATTTTTCAAGTTCATCTAATGAAAGGTCACTTATAAAACAGCAATAGTTTATCTTAACATATCACTGTAATTTTTATATACTATATAACCAAACTACAATTAAATATTATAATTTTTTGCAGAAATCGCCCAAACCCTAACATCAAAATGCATAGACTTTATGGGAGGTGTCGGCTTCACTCGTGATTTCCCTCAAGAGAAGTTCTTCAGGGACGCAAAGATCGGTACAATCTACGAAGGCACCAGTAACATGCAGCTACAAACTATAGCCAAACTCATTGAAAGAGAGTATAAACAATAAAATAAACAATGTATTAAGTTTCACTAAAGCATAATATTCAAAACTGTTATACTATAAAAATATGACAAAATGAATTTATTTACCTAAATTTGTAAATAAAACAATATATTGATAAACATTATTTTATTTTCAATAATAACTTCTCTATAACTATCTTAATTTGTTTTATAAATCATTTGGGGTCATGCGGTAATTTAAATCCGACCATCCTTGCCGTATCTTCAACGGTCCTTTCCCCCTTTCCCTTGAATTCAGCGTTAATTTCCTTGTATTTTCTTGAATAATGTAAATAGTTGTAATACGTCTTTGCCTTGAAGTGCATCTCGTCGGCCGCCTTACATAGTTGTTGATCAGTTGTTTGATATTTACGATATTGTTCCAATATGTATCTCACCATTTGGTTCTCGGCCAACTTTTTATTTGAACTTTGATGTCTCAATTCTGATAGAAGCTGCCTTAACGTCACTAGGGCTGGTTTTGTAGTGATTGTAGCCATTATAAGACCTTCAACAAATTTATAAGGTTAATTTGTCAATCATTTCAGATGTTATGAATTCTTCAATATTTTTATAATCTGGTTTGTCGTCTGCAAGCCAGAAGTTAGATGGAACTGATTCGAGTTTCTCTTTAGGGAAGTAGTGTATTGATGTGTCGTTAAATATATCTTTGTACACGAAACTGTTTTCTAGAGTAACTTCCGATGTTAACGGATGTATATTGCTTATACAAGGCACTATTTGTTTTAATACTCTACTAGGTTGATTGACAACGAGTGATGAGAAACTATTGCAGATAAGGATGGAATTGTCCAAATTCAGTCCCCAATTACTCCACAGAAAGTTATTAGTAAGTTGTTTTGGACAGTGTGGGAAGTAAGCTAAGGTAACACCTTGTTTCCTTATTACATAACTTCCTTCAGTATTTTCAACAATTACAGATAAGCCAAACTTAGTTAAAAGTGTACATTCGTTTGTATAAAATATTGGATCGTGAACAAATACGTCATGTGGGTTAAATTTTTGCTTCAAACATAATAATAGAGCGAGTTGATATCGGGAAATGTTACATTCGCTTATATGTCCAAGACCAAAACAGATGATTTCTACTATATTTTTATCATCAGCAATTTGACTTACTTTCTGTACAACGTCTTTTAAATATTGAGATTCCTTCACTTCTTCAATTGCAATTTCAATACGTCTGGAAAAAAATGTTTTATTAATAACGACACAAAGTTAGGTTAGTTTCCATTTAAATATATTAAAGTTTCTTTTATAAGACCTACCTCCGTGATTTTTCAATATCTATTTTTATATCTTGTTTCTTAAAATCTTTTGTCGGCACTATTACTTTTGATTTCAATGAGTTTTTTGATTTTACTATTTGAAAACCATCGCTGTCAAACTCTGGCTTTGACATTTTAAAGATTTACAGAGTAACAAAATTACTAACATGGTAAGAATAAAAAATATTTTTAATTCAACCGACCTGATATTATTGTTCTTAGTTTTCTCATATATATATTTTATTAACTCTATTTAATACTGAATTACTAAATGGTCCAAAGAAAAGTTGTGTTCTATATCTATTATTTCCGATAAAGTATATAAACTCAAAACTTTTAAATAACCCGATCCAATCCAAATAAGGACTCTCACACTAAAGCTTTATGTACGCTTAAAGGTAAATCTTCTCGGCATTCATTAAAAATTGCATGACGTTGATATTTGGTAAATTTAAATTATTACTGTGTTTTTATTAAGTAATAAAGAATTAAAAAATGTACTTAGATAAAAATGAACAGGTTAAAATATATGAATCTAAATAAATGATTAATCAGGCACATTAAGGAAAGAATTCATTTCCCAAGAAATTTATTCCGATAATATTGTCTGTTTTTACTTAAAGATTAAGTTAATTGTAAGTCATTATAGGCAAAACACAAATAGAATAATAGTAACGTTTCCAATTTTAATGACTAAACTACTTCAGATGTACTTTTATATTTTTTTCGTCAAAATATTAAAGTCTCGTTAATTTGAAATTAAGATTAAGAGCCCAAGGATTTCTTATTATTACTTTTGTAATATATATGTAATAGCTTTTGCCCGCGACTTCGTCCGCGTGGAATATGACTTCCGGCAGATTTTTGGTTCCTCCCACATAGTTCCCGCTCTTGCGGGATTTTCGGAATGGTCGAGTTCCCGCAGAATTTTCAGGATAAAACCTGTTTTTTTTTCGAGTTCCAAACTATATCTGTACAATTTTAACAGTAAATTTAATTATTTTAAAGAACTTCTGCATATACTTAAAAAAAGTGTTATTATTGTGAAACTAAATACTATCGTTAAACAAATGAAGTACCTACTATATAGAAAACAACTACAAAATGAAACTGTGTTTAAAAACTAATATTACGATGATAATTATATCGCATAAAGAAATTAACGCTGCATTCAACCGTTCAGTATGGAGCAGACCGCGGGAATGGCTTGCCCGCAAGCACCGCCTCTCTCCGCACCGTTTTGTTTCGGAGTTATTTATCATTGTAATCTTTAAAGTTTTTTGTTGAAATTAAGTTATGTCAAAGACAATTTTATTCACAATAGACATTGCACGCACATGCGCAGTTCAGCTACGCACAATCAACATCGCGACGCGATGCAGCGAAACGCTTAGTTAATTTTTAAGTTATCCAAATTTTTAAACTCGCTATATCTTTTGAATGGGGTATCCGATTAAAATAATTAAAACAGCAATATAAAGGTATTGAACTACTGTTAAATAAAAAGTAAGTTATTTAGATAAGTATAAATACCATGGTATGAATATCGACATCTTATTTTCGTTGCCGATTTAAATACTTTGTTAAACTATAAAAGTTTTTATATTGGCGTAACTATAATACTTAGATATACTCTACCGCTGACTTTTCTGTAGATAATAATGCGGTCTACAAAATCGTACCACATTATTTTGCTCCATCATCAATAGTTATTGCAGCGCACGCGATTTAAGGTATTTCAATAGTGATTTTAATCTACCGTGGTTTATGTTATCTTAGTTTTCGCAAGGATCCCTAATTTTTTCAAAATAAAATATAGCCTATGTTACTTTGGAAAGATGTACAATCATAATGGTGAAAGAATTTTTAAAATCGGTCCAGTAGTTTTTGAGCCTATTCGTAACAAACAAACAAACAAAAAATATTACCTCTTTATAATATTAGTTTAGATTAGCAAATATGTATGATAGCTCTAGATATTGAAAGAGCCACTGGATGTAAAAAAATTATCACGGCTATCTCTATGAACCTTTGGAAGCGAAATGGAAAAATATGTATTTAATTTTCATGGTAGGTACTAGTCGAGGAAATGTAAGCATTCGAAGGCACATAAATTTACAACTAGCTGATTCGACATAAAAACTAACACGAATTTAAAGATCCCCATCCGTTCCCTGTATGGAAAAATATATTAGGTCAAAGATAAAAAAAATATGAGATTTAAAGAAACACTATGTTGTATCATAATTCATAGAAGTATTTTTGGCAAACATTTTGGATGATTTTTTCAAAAAGTCGTATCAATACTTATTCTTATTGTACTTTTTGTTTTAGTTGTTAGTAGTTGTAGGAATCATAATAGACACGTAACCATTTCACCTACAAAGTATATTTAGAAGGTATTGAATTTTTGTAACGTAGTTTCTCCATTGAAAATTTTCCATGAGTAAGTTATAATCCTGTTAATATACTTCCAACATTACAGAAAATCACTCACTGGAAAAGTTAAAAAAACTTTAATTTTTCAGTTTTTGTTCAATTAAAATAATTACATATTTCTAACAGAGTATAATTTTTTTTCTCTTTTTTTTGTATGTATGTAAGAAAGAGTATAAAGCGAAACCTTTTTACGACAAATATTTAAAAATATCTTTTCACTTACAATTAAGATTGAAGGTCGAGAAAGTTTTGTTAGTTAATAATTTTTTACTTGTTGAAAAATTTACTTTTTGTAGAATTTCTAACGATAATAATTTTTTATAGTATTCAGAACTCATAAATAACTTTAAATAAATTGATGTGTGTGCTGTACTGTTACTAAAAATGTTATTTTTACCGTTAAATAAAAATTATAAATTTAATGAAGATAGAATCCTGGCAGTCCGGAGTTTTATATTCGAAATTTCCCGCTCTTTTAGCATTTCTTTTTTTGAAATATCTTAAATATTAATACTTTATGAAATATTGGCAAAAAATGAAATGCATTTTTTTCATCTTTACTGCACTTTTTGTGCCATACATGACACATAGTACATGCTTTTGGCACATTTCACCAGACGTCATTCCGGATCCAATTAACCATCGCATATAATTTTCAGAGTAATAACTCCTTTTTGTACCATTTTCAACCTGTCCACTACACTATTTTACAATACATGCTTAATAACGTTCAATACTTAGAATCTTTTATTCAATAAATGACCTAGAATACATTCTACGACACTTTTTTTGGGGGGGACAGTCATCAAATGATCCCTTTTGACCTGGGTGGGGCGAGTGGAGTGACTGATAACTGACTGAAAACCCTTCGTACCTATTTCTGCTAACAGCAATGCCGTACATAATTTCTTGGCATCGGCTCTAGGGCTTCATCTATGGTGGTCTAATGGCTCATTGAGGCACGCGGTACGCTCCGTCTCTTCATTGTAATTCATATTACAATAAAGAGGCATACTCATATACGTGGGAAAGCCCTATCATTGTTTACAACTCTTCCCATAAATATTCATAAGATCGTAACCTATTTAATATTTTTCTTTCTAAAAATCAAATGTTAATGTCTAAATAATAATATCATCGTTCTAATAATAAATTATACTTATGCAATATTTTTTTATTTCTATTTGATTTTTACGATTTCTTAATGTTATTTCTATTTATAAAAGTTTGCTTTCTGATCATTATTCAAATATTTTTTTACTATTTCACTATGTAACTTTTTAAGTTTAAGAAGTTACATCACCCCTACTTATAAATAAAACGTAAAATCTTTGAGCTGTAGTTGTCGAAGAATATAATTTAGGCTGCACCAATATTCTAAATCACTGTTTATTCCATATTTTCAAAATATAATGAATAAATTAAACTAAATATGTTTTGTAAATATTTCTCTCCTCTCCACTTTACTATTCTTCTTGAAGTATTACACAAGTCTACTCCACTATTCAACTCTCTTACCGCGCCAACACAGAAATTAGTCAATACAGCTCCTCTTTATTTTTGTTTTATACAATTATTAAATTTCAAGACTTTTATTTGTTGTAAAATTGTCATAATATTATTTTATAACTAAAATTTGTTATTAATGATAAAACAAATATTACATAGGTACATATTGATAAAAATAAATTAAGTATGTATGTAGACCCTATAAATCAGGATAATCACAAAAGAACAAATATTTGATATTTACCTTTTTTATGTAACTACTCAAATCTCGTCTAGTTTGACAACAACTTTTTAACATTCAGTCATAGCAATAAAAACGTCACATTGATTCAAATTTATTATTTTAATAAACTTTCTAAAACTTCAATTAAATGCAAAAATAATAAATTAATGTCATTTACCTTACGCATCGGTATATCTGTGCTCATTTACATAACTAATTATTTTTCAATGAGTTCCTTACGATGTATGCGATATTTTCTTATTATTACTACTGCATTATGCAATCAAATTCACTTCCCTTTCTATTCTTGATTATTCAATTGTAAGCTACCTTATCTTAGTTTAAAAATCAAAAGCTCAAATCTAACAATTCTAACATTAGGAGTTAGGTTAATCTAAATTATATCAAATTCTGTTAAAAATGGAGAATATTTAGGAAAACTCTTGATGAAATCTGGTATTCTACCAGCATGCTAACACAACCTGGCCTGGCCTGGCCTGAATGGAACGGTATCAGAAGTGCTAATATTACTAGCTAATTATGTAAATGGACTAGCATCGATTTTAGTATCGGGATAAACTCTTATAGAACCGTCTGCTTTCTGAGAATGACTATAATCTACAGTTAATGGTACAAAAACATAGTTATTACATTTAAATCTTTCTTAAGAAATTATTACCCAAAAAAAATTTTTAGTAGTACTGATGTAGCATTTAAGTAGACTGGCTTTAAAAGCATTACAAGGAGAAATAGCCACTCCAATAAACGGACTCAGTTGATTAATGAAAAAAAATTGTACTAAAAAGTATTAAGAAGACTTTCTAGAACACAAAGAGGATTTTTACGTAGGATCTTCAGTTACGACCGGATCATGTGATCCTATTGAACCGGATCATATTCATTTCTATAATGGATAATATGATGTCAATAATGATGTGACTTACGCTTGTGCAGTCATAGGCT